ATAATTCTTTAGTATATTACTTGTGTGGTGTAGAAGAGAATAGAAGTGAATCATTTATTGCTTGCAAACCAATGATGGTAAGATGATGTCATGGGGTAGGACTGGATAAGTCTGACTTCTTCCTACTCCATTCAAGCATGTACTAGGTATAAGCAAATTGATATTGGATTAGCATTTGTTGGATATGTGTAAAATTATGTGTGTTGACATATCAACTGTCTTTACATGCTTGAAAGAATAAATCAAATCAAAAAAATCAAAATCAGTATTCCAGCTATAGGACTGAAGCAGTATGAATTAACATGGCAGAAAACTTGGTCCCCTGTCACCCCAGGCATGATGCATTCTCAAACATATCAGGGTGTCCCAGCTGTGACCATGCAGTCTTATCATTTCAGAGACACTTTCTACACTCGTTTCCTCTTCTCCACCAACTGGAAAAGCAACTCCAATGCATCTTGTTGCCAGTTATACTTTTCCTTCCTCAGCCACTGCGTAAAGGAACAAGAATAAATCAGCACACTCTTTAAGGTCATGGAGAGAAGCCACAGATGTTCTCACTCCTGACTCCTGACTCACTCCATGGATGCATGGAGTTTTCTTGCATGCAGAGGAAGTCAGATAAAGGAAAGCTTTCTTCTGTTTCTTTTTTCTTTCTTTCTTTTTCTTTCTTTCATTTGGATGAATAATTCACTTGGTTGTTGGATGGTTTCCCTGCAGAAACACAATTCTTTAGAAAACACTGGAGAAATATTTCCTCATTTGCTAAAATAGCAACATTTAAGTATAAAGAAGGAAAAGAGCGTTGCTCAGGATGAGTCATATTTAATGATCGTCTATAGAAACCAACCTGCTCTGGTGAATGCGTCATATTTACTTCAGACTGCTTCAAGCCTCCAGTCACAAAATGAAGCCTCTCTTATTGCTTTAAGGCTGAGTCCCTTTTGACTGAACATTGCCCTTTTGTTAGTCGGGGATTAGAGTCAGCATTCATAATGAGGACAAGTAGGGATCTAGGCTGATCATTTCCTCATTGAACAAAAGGTCACAGATCAATATCTCTATACAAGTTTTTAAAAATGTTTGTCTGCAGGAGAGAGGTGATTGTCTGTTGTTAATCAACATCTGTACTAACCTACCTAAGGACACTCAACTGGTAAGTGCTTTAAATAACATGCACATGATCTCTTAAGATCAGATACAAGTGCATAAAAAATGTTTAAAGACTTGTTCCAAAATAATAAATTAAAAAACTGAACCATGAGAGTGCACAAAGTATCTATTACATATGCATTACATTCTGCTGAGCAAAAATAAATACACTTCTTAACAGCCTCTACCTGTATGACCTCACCAGATAATAAGCATGTACAATAAATGTCACCATATTCAACTTCTATTCATATTTTAGAAATTATTTCCAGTATCTGCAGATAAATCAGTCCAACAGTCATCATATAGCCTGCAGAGCTACAGCTGAGCTTACACAAATACATGACAACTACTGTATACATTGTATTTTGGCTATCATGTGATCGTTCTCTATAACTGTGCAACCACTGCCTGTTCACATGACTATCACGTGATCGGTCTCTACAACTGTGCAACCACTGCCTGTTCACATGTGCCACACTTTTATCAGGTTTAAGATCATGTTGCCGTACATGGGAGATAACCTAAAGTCCATTTTCTTTAATCCATGTTGTAAAGTGAACTGAACAGAGCTTTGAGCCACATATGCAGGATGCCTGCAAGCCATGGCAACAGGTCTGCTAAGACAGCTTCTTCAGTTACAAGACTAATTATAGCATCAATTGAAGCTGCAGGTGAATTAGTGCCTGATGGCTTAATAAAGTGTGAAAAGCATTCCTTCTAAGTGGCAAATGGCAGGAAATGCAACTTGCAGGTCAAAAATGAGTCAAATATGATTTAAATGGCACAGATCATCCAGGTTGGACAACAAAGCTACTGTTAGCGTTCAAAATTCTATGTCACTGTAACCACAAGCTCCTACTATATAAGGCATAATGCTTTTAGATTGCTGTGGCTAAATTCTAAGGACACATTGCCTCTACATCCCATAAAGCATGTACTGTTAAAACATATGCTTAGTAGTGCAACCAGCAGTAGTTATTATCCAGCTGCAGCTGACAGATCGTTTCAGTCATTCTTGTATATTTATAAAAATATGTATACTGTATATATATATTAGTGTGTGTGTGCGTGCGTATATGAGATCACAGTGCCCCCTTCTGGCCAGTGTGAGCTATATCTCAGCCTAAAAAATGTATCCTCAAGAAGGGACTGTGGTGCAGTAATGGAGCATGACCACTGGACTCATTCTTGTGTACTGATAAGGTGAAAAATCATCCACCTTGGTCTGACTGGAAATCTCCTGAATAATGGGAAATCTATGCTCCCAGTGGGAGAACATTCAAAAGGCATTAGACAATGAGCTGTTTCAGATTTAGGATTGACTTTATGATGGGGGGTAGAGCAGCAATATCTCAGTGTTTCTACCTGTGTTCCATCTTTATACAGGCCCTATTCTGCAGAGCAGCCATGCATACCGTTTCTCTGCAAGCCCTAGTACACACATATACATAAAACCATTCTCCGTGTCAAGATTGATTGTTGCCTTGGCTTTGGAGGCAAAATATGGAATACTTATCCTAAAAGGTTTTATATTTCTCAGCCACTCAATTCTGTTCTGCGCCATTCAGGCCGTGTTTATTTTCCAAGCACTGGGATTAAATTCTCTCTCTCTTACAAGAAAGATCTAAAAAAGGAAGCTAAGAATTTGAGATGTCTGTCTCCAGCGGCTGTTTGTGCTTCCCCTCAAAAATACAGAGCTATTTTATGCTCAGTCCAACTTATTTCCATATATTGCTTCAATTGAGCCTATTTCCATGTATGTAGAACGAGGACAATGCCTTAGCTTGTACTGTTTAAATGCAATTGGGAGCTGCAGGCTGCACCATTTAGGAGTGTTCCAACTCATATGAATATTCAGTGTTTATGTTTACTTCATGGAATCAGCTAGAATGACAGAATACATTAAGAAAATAACCTATCAATCTCTAATCAAATGTAATGCATGAACGCTGAATGAAATATGCATGACAAATTGGCTTCGGAGAACACAGAGCAGGCAGGTCCTCTGAACCTTTGCACAAAAGCTCATTGAAATTCCTTTCATTATGACTGTGGCACCACAGAGAATGAGAGGGACAGGCAGAGAAAGATGAGATGTAAAGATTTTGGATCAGAAAGGCAGGAAAAGCCTCACATCACATACTGCAAAATGATCACCAAAAATTATGTGATTTCACTGTTACAGAGAGTAAACAAAAACGCAAGAGATAAACATTTTGTCATTGTATTTACAAATGTTAACGTTTGCCTCAATGCCATTCAGTATGATATATTCTTCGCATGGAATCCTGTTTATGTGTACAATCCGACATCCATCAGTGAAAACACCAGACAACAAGCGCTCCACAAGCAAACAGTTTTTTAAATACATACTTTAAAAGAATTATAATAATCTTAATTACTTCTCCCAGTTACAAATGAAAAGGTTTGTAGACTTGATAAAAATACCTTGGCCATCAAACATGTTAATATCACAAGCCTCAGGAAAAAAACAAAAACAAGAAAGCATGAAAATTCAGAGATGATCCTACTAAATATCTCTTAAAATCTGTCTCAGTGAAGGTCATAAGAAAGATCTGCCTCTGTAATCTTTTAGACAGTTTGCTGCTTGACTATAGTAGTTTCATTGATAAAACATTTAAAAGTGATACATGCAGAACCCTGACACTTTGTACAGATGTAATACTTGATATGATATAAACATGTTAACGTAAATAACTTTTTTGTAAGCTCTTAATCACACACTGTCAAAACACAAATATGATTCAGCTGGGCTTTTCAAGAGTCATAACCAGAAGCTTGTCCAAACCAAGTGTCCCAGCTGTTTGCAATGGCTTCAATGTTCACTTTAATGTTCATGGGTTATTGTCACAAGTAGTCTCCTCGTCGATTTCCTGGAGTACACGCGCATCACATGGCTGTTGGATGGCCAGCTAAAAGAAAAGAAACATTAATATTACACTTCAAGAAAACCTAGAACATCCTATTGCTGATCAGCTTGATCCAGTACTCACTTTTGAATCGCACATAGCAGGAGTTACAGTAGAGCATTTTGTTTCGTATTCTGACTTCAGCCCCGGCTTCCGATCCTCCCAGATCAGCCTTACAGTTTGTACACTGGGGAAGTTTAGGGAAAAGTTACTCAACTGGTTAAAAGTACAGCAAAGTGTCCAAGTCCATGGGTAGACAGATGAGGAAAGACAGACCAAAAGCCTTTGATTGTAGGTAGAGAATGACAAAAATGAAGGAAGAGGAATGAGTCAAACTACAAAGACTATCAGGAAAGATAACCAATCAGATATAGGAAACCAAACTCAAATGAAGACTGAAGTTTCAGGGTGACTCAAGAAGCAGGTTTTGGCACAAAAAAATCTATTTGGTTCAGCTGTAGAAGGAACAGGATCTTGATATTTGTCAGGATTTACCATGTTAGGGAAAAAACAGAAAGAAAGAGTCTGGAGAGATCAGGTTAGTTCTGAAGATTGGCTGATTTGTGCTGCAGATGTGCTCCGGGGCGACAGGAGTCCAGCTCTCACCTTAAAACAGCTCAAATGATAACAGAGCCCGAGGGACTCGATGATCATGGCCGCTCCCTTTCCCAGCGCGGTGTCACAGAACGTACAGTTTTTCTTGCCACTCACTGACCTAGATTACAGAATGTATAACTGTGGGTTAAGAGCCAGGCCCAAATGCATGTCTGATTATTAACACACAAAAAACATGTTCACTCTGGTATACGACAGCGTTAGACTGATAATTTGCTAATAAATGCAACACTGATGATGATAGTTCCATTTTAATACTCTGTAAAACATTTAAGGATGGTTTTGCATTTTCATTAATTCATCTATGAGGATTTACATTAATATTGCCCTAACTGAACATTTTTGTTTTGTGTATAAACTAGAGTCCTGAAAAGAATAAAAATTTGATGAAACTGATGATTTTTAATTTTGACAGAGGAACAATTATTACAAAATACTGGGTAGTTAGTTTTACTCTTACTCTTCTCAACAGAGAGACACACAAACTCAAGACAATATTGTATGTGCAAACAAAATCTGTAAAAAAAAAAGAAAGAAGGACTTTACATATTAGGCAGAGGACGACTTGTTAGGTGGTTAGTGGAGGATGAACAGATGGAGAATGTCACATAAAACAATATCATATGCAATGACATATTATAATACATTTAAAAGTATATCAAGTGAAACAATTCATGTTCACTTGCCCATGGCCACCGCTCCCCTCAGTCAAGACTTTTGGGTCACAACACCACCACCCGTGCTATGATTATGTAACCCTGTATACCAATGAGAAGCAGCTTTCTGAGCGTTTCAAGCAAAGCAGCACTGGTGAGTTTACCTGCTCCGCTGCTGAGGGCCACCTGCCTCAGACATGGGCTCTGGAGAGGTGGTGGGCGACAGAGAGGACAGTGAGGGGGAAGATGTCTGCTGGGACCAGGGGAACGAAGGGGTTCCAGCCCCACCTTGGAGGGAGCCCATGGAGGAGGAGGAAGGCAGAGCGGAGGAGCCGGGCCGCTGCACCCCAGACCCGCCACTGTAAAAGGAAGTGCTGCCAGAGAGGGCAGAGTGAGGCCGAGCGTAGTTTTGGACATAAGAGTTGTTTCTGGATGTCCATGATGAGCGCCAGGAGTTGTAGGAGCTATCCAAGTTGTCAAGAGACTCACCTCTGCAAAGCCAACCCACGCCACACCCACATTAGCTGTTGAGTAAAAGCATTTTAACAGTCTGGCTACCACCCCACCTGCACCTATGGCACTTTATACAATCAATCTTGCTGAGCCAAGTGGTAGCCAGACTAGTAAATGCTTTCCTTTTAACAACAAAAGAATATTAGTATGTTTAAAAAGAGAAACCAGCACCACCACACAACAGAGATAGCTTTTTTTTTAAACCCTCATACAGGCTACATACCTGCGCATGGGTGGCACGTCATTCTCTTTGTGGGTTGCGGTGTTGGAGGCACGCTGGCGTATCCAGCTACCGTCCCTTAGCAGCGAAGTCTTCTTCTTCATCTCGTTCAGGATCTGCTGCCGTTCCAGCTCTGCCTTCGACATGGGCTGCTGACCTGTATTCTCACCCACTCCAACGCCTGTCACTGAAACAAGAGAGGAGAGACAAAACGAGACATTATGCTAAATGAAAAGTTTCTCGGATGTCAAAAATATATCAGAAATGTTGACAGACAGGCAAACTGCAAAAAAATGGAAGGAGAGAATAAAATTGTGCTGATGCGGATACATTGTTCCCCAAGTCTGCTTCGATGAAGTTTTATTATAAAGTCATCTGCTACAGCATATGACTACAGCATATGATTGGTAACTTACAATTTGTGCACTCAATCAGTTAATTATTTTTGTTATATAGGATTTTCTTGATTTGATTTCAGCTGACCTGATCTGATTTGATCAGTCAGCTGTTAATCAGCTGTTTGTGATTGATTTGATGAAATGTCACAACTGATTGATCAGCTGATCAAATGGGTAAAAAGCAGAGCAGATGGACGTGGTATCAGATTTAAACCGATTGGCGGAGATTCGGGGGCCGAGCCCACCTCTCTCTGGCTGTCTGTATCTCATGGCATTGAGGATATTTCTCCTCTCCATTTCCAGCTCTGATGCGGCCTTCTGACTCTGGGCCTGTTTGTCACGCGCACTCTTCAACTGCTCTTCCAGCAGCCACTGAGCCAGACCCCCTGGCTGCACAAACACATCTACAAGCCCATGTGTGCAATGACACGCATACATAAAGTCATTTAGATAACAGCCAATAAAATATACAGCAACCAACATCACATAATAAAAAGGACCTAATATCCCTGGTCTCGTATGTCACTGTTGCATTCATAAGTGTACTGTACACTTGTACAGTAGTTACATTTAATTAATGGAGAATAAATCAAGAAAACTGACCTTTTCTCTGAGGTTTTTCCTCTTCATCAAGTTGGGGAGATGACTTGGATTTTACCCTATCAAACAAAAGAAAATACAGTAAACATAATTACATCAGCTAACTTTATAGTCAGTACAGATCAGTTACACTACTTTAGTTTTTATACCTGTTATAAAACTGAAGTGAAAAGCAATGAAGAACAGTGGAGGATCATGATCAAAACAGGGGTGCAGTCATCGCACACTAATCTGGTTTTTAATCACGTAGCCTCACTAATAAAGACTTTTCAACTTTTCTTCCTTAACAACGCAACATGCCCTGATTTTATTTTATTTTTTGGATGTTACATAGGGACACTGCTGATTGCAGGCCAATCACAGGTAATTCCCACCTCAGTTGGAGACACAACCCACTTATTGGAGGACTTCTGTATAGAAAGAATACCTGGACGCATGAACTATAAAGTAAAGATGTGCAGAACTGTTTGTACAGGAAATGTTATGAACGAATAATAAAAGAAAAGCCTGACTTACTGATTCAAAGGCACACATAATGTTAAATTATGTATCCATTGTAACACTATCTGCTGTCAGTGTTTTTAGGCCACAGTAACATTTAAGTGATAAATTGTTCTTGTTTCTTAAAAACCAATGTTGGTGTTTTGGCAGGATTATGTGCTTGTGAGACACTAAGAGACATCGCTTTGGCAGGTTCGTTATAATCCAGGCAAGAACAAATTGTGTTGCCAGGATAACACCTGATGCTGAGAACTGTGTAAAGAACTCAGAAAAGGTGAAGTTGGAGCTGAAATTGTGGAGAAGAAAACATGTAAGCAACATTTGTTAATTTAAGATGGTAAAACTTCAAATCCTTCTATTTAGCATTTATAAACACTATATAACATTTACCACATATTTATGACACATTAACAGAGTTATAAGCACATATAAGTGTTTAATAATATACAATATTTCTCAAAAAATATAACTTCTATGAAGACATTTTATATTCTTAGTCTTATTATTAATTGTTTTACAGTTTTTTTTTTTATGCAGCAGCCGCAACTTACAGGTGTCTACAGGAGGAATTATAGTTATATTTATATAACAATTTAATTACATGAATAAACATATATTTCTGCTAACAACTACATTATAGTGTGATATTTATAGTATTAACTGCTTAGCTACTGTATTGTAATAATAATATTCATTGCTATATGCTTATAAATGCTTAATTTGAAACTTAAAATAAGGTTGTTGCCTATACAAACTATTCAAATCATTATTATGAAATAAACACTAAAATAAACTGTAACAGATCGGAGGCATTGTTTTATGTAATTAGCTATTAAATAGGGTATGGACAGTGGTGGAGGAAGTACTCAGGTCCCTTATGTAAGTAAAAGTAGGAATACAACAGTGTAAAAATACTGTTACAAATAAAAGTCTTGCATTCTAAATGTTACTTAAGTAATACTACAAAAGTATTTGCATCAAAACATATTTAAAGTACTAAAAGTAAAAGTACTTGTTATGCACATTTAACATTCCTGTATATCATAATCAATTCTAATTACTGATGCATCATTGTGTACATCACATTTAAGGGTGCTGCTGGTATAAAGAGAGCTAGTTTTAACAATCTTATATATTTTTAATTTGAATTACTGCAGGGCAGCTTGTGACTTTCCCACCTGGGTTCAATAAAATCGTATAGTGTATATGTGTATATATAGTGTATTTTTTAAAATCTGGTTCTGAAAAGTAACTAGTAACTAAAGTTATAAAATAAATGTAGTGGAGTAAAAAGTACAATAATACTCTAAAATGTAGTGAAGTCGAAGTATAAAGTAGCAGAAAATGAAAATACTCAATTAAAGTAGAAATAACTAAATTGTACTTAAGTACAGTAAATGTACTTAGTTACTTTCCACCACTGAGTATGAAGCAAACATATATCACATAAAAGTATGTGATATAATAAGAGGTTTCATTAGTGCCAATAGCTGAGTAGATCAGTACAGAAAGAAGCAGTATCAGGTGAAGTTTGACAAACAAATCCACAGTCTCTCCTGTACTGACCTGTCTGTAAAGGACAGTGGAGGCTGAACACTGTCAAAATAATGGAAGCCATCAGCCCTTTGGAGATGGGAGCGTGGAGAGAGATGAGACGAGGGTCACAGCACAAAGGTGGATGACAAAGCCCATGCAAACACATTAGTTGCAGTTATGTTAATGCAGAAACAGTAAAGCGGGTAGTTTTACATGTGGATGTGATATTAGCAGCATAATGGACAGAAGAGGAAGGTGTGTGAGTTAAAGTGTTAAGGAAAGTACAAGAGCAGTGTCTCCACTGACCACTGCTGCTGCTGCTGCTGCTGCTCCAAGCTTCTAGCCCGCTCTCTGCGTTGCTGCTCTGCAACTTCCTGCCATCTCCTCTCCTCCTCCTCCTCCTCCTCTCTCCTCATCTGCAGTCTTAGCTGTTCTTGTTCCCTCCTCTTCCGCTCGTCCTCCTCCTGTCTTTCTTTCCTCTTTCTTTCCTCCTGGAGACGCTGCAGCTCTCGCTCCTTCTCTTCCCTCTTCCTCCTCTCCTCCACCTGCCTCTGGCGCTCCTGCTCCTCCTGCCTCTTTCTCTCCTCCTGGAGACGCTGCAGCTCTCGCTCCTTCTCTTCCCTCTTCCTCCTCTCCTCCACCTGCCTCTGGCGCTCCTGCTCCTCCTGCCTCTTTCTCTCCTCCTGGAGACGCTGCAGCTCTCGCTCCTCCTCTTCCCTCTTCCTCCTCTCCTCCACCTGCCTCTGGCGCTCCTGCTCCTCCTTCTTCTTTCTCTCCTCCGCTTCCTGCAGAGAAGAAATGTGCTGGGTGATGGAAGAGATGGGCGAGTATGGGCTGATGCTGTGGCTGATCACTTCCAGACCCTCAGACAAGAAGTGTTTAGACACATGATGGCTTTAAGTGATCTGACCTTTATTGACCCCCAGGGGGAAGTGCAACAACAGTGGAGAAACTTGTGTCATCCCCTTGTGGTGACAAACCATCAAGTGTTTGGAAATTTCAATCAGATGGGAGTTTTTGTTACAGAACTGTGACCTGGAAGGTCTTCATCCATTACAGCATGTTGTGTGTCTGTGTGAACACATGACTGTACATTGTTCTGCTCTTGAATTCACTCAGTCTTTTGTGTGAGATGGACTTGTGTTTTAAAAGCCAGAAATACCTGTGCCTGACCATGTAATTTGGACTAAATTATATGAATTATGTTGATCAGCAACACTGTCCAAATATTTCTGAATACATTTAGATAATTCAGTCATTGCTTATTGTCACAGTGTAATACAAATTAAAATACTTTTGTTACCATGTTCTTGGCAATCTCCTGCTGAGCTTTGAGCCACTCCTGCTGCAGTTTCTCCTGGTCACGTTTATATTTCTCCTGGGTGAAAAAAGCGGTCAAAGAGGTCAAATGTATCCCAACATACAGTACGCCCACGCAATTACAGATATAAAAAAACAACAACATATATCCGGTCTAGTTGAAGTGCTGATAAATTATATGACCATCTAACACAGTACTGCAGGAAGACTAAGTGATAGAATAAGACATTTGGTGGCTGTGTAATTCTCAGATAAGTCCAAGCTCACCCATATGTAACCTAATCACCCTGAAAGTTGATAAACACAAAGAAGCTTGCCCAGGGCAGGAAGTCTCCCTGGCACATTGTGAAATCAGGCCGTTTATCCAACAGGGAATAAGAATGGAGGAGTAACAAGCCTTCCCATCAGTGCTCTGCTTGGACACCTTTGATCTAGATCCCGAAATAAACTTTTGAAGAAAAATGTTTTGACAGGATTCTTCTACACTTAGGTTGGATGCTCAATAAGAGCTTTACTTTCAATTGCCTGAGTGCTGTCTAAAGTCTTCTGTTTGGAGCTTATTAGGAGCAGACTCTATTGGATGTGAAGCTGCTAATTCAGCTTCATGGTCCTTTTAGTGTATTTTGATGCTGTTGAATTGCAATGTGTTATAATGAAAGGTGTTTGTATTTACATTTAGTTCAGCAGTGTTTATATCTGTGATAATACCAGGGTATTGTGCAAATTCAATACAAATTAAAATATGGTCCTTTATTGTACACACAAGAAAATGAGAATTTGACTGTCATGGCTCACACAGTACACAAACTGGAATACAAAAACATACCAACAGCTAAAACATACACACATTTTAACTGAGTGTTTATTGTAACATAACATCGCTGTTACATGGGAATGCCATTATGTACCTGTAGGAGGCGCTCCTGCTCCTTCAGCCATTTTTCTTGTCTTTTGCGCTCTTCTTCTGGGTCCCAAGACCAGTGGCTGGAAGAGGAAGTGATCGAAGGAACGGGTATCTGAAGACAAACAGTTTAGGCTTGTTATTGATGTAAATGAGATGCAATGATGTATAAGAATGAAATCTCCCTACAACCACAGTAACTGTCTGTCTTTAAATATGTTGTCATGCTACAAACGCAAACGCAACAGACAAAAATGCCCTCCATGCACTGATAATACTACTCACATCTGGCATTGCAGACTCAGATCCTCCTTAAAAAAAAAGCAAATTGTCCAGTCAATACTTGAGCCATGCACAAGCAGAGCAATGAGATAAAATGTAAATATAAAAGTTAACCTTAAGGCCATGTAGCATATCACCACAACATTGACAGGCTTATTAAAGTGTCAGCTTGAGTTTCAAACACCAATTCATCATTGAAAATTACATGTCAAAAGAGAGGTTTTCAACAAGCCTTAAGCAACAAAGGTCAGATTTCACCCTCTAGAACTTATTGATTCTCTCAATTCAAGATCACCCAGTTGTTGACATTTACATTCGATGCCAGCCCAACGGGTCTCAATAGGAAAATCAATAAAGTGATTGTGAGAGCAATGATTCATCAAACAAACTGAATGAAAAACACACACATGAGGGGCATGCATAGGATGCACAAGTACAGTGCAGCTAGTCTGAAAGACTAACAGACGCTTCAATACATACATGCCAAGTGAGAAACAGGAATAATTTTAACTTCATGCGCAACGAAGTGAAAAGTGTAACCATGTGAGAGCCACCAAACAAAAGGAACACAAACACAAGCCCTTAGGATCTTGCACTGGCTCTGTGTCTGACATGGTGTTCAGAGCTCAATATGTTGCTTTTTTATTATTTTGTGAGTTTGTTGGGGGCTGTCGGAGGATACAATTCCACCGAAGGGTTCCAAAGGCGGCATTAGACAGGCATGGCTTAAACAGCGTGTCAGTGTTGCAGCTTGCACAAAGCAAACGTGAAAAGACGACTGCACACTTAACCCCGTTTACCACAGAGGTAGACCAGTGCATTGACACTGGACCCTGAGCTGCCTGAAGGAGATAAGGGGCACAGCAAGGTTTAAGCTTTGGCACCAGGCAAAACTATCAAAAAGACAGTTCATAATGAACTGATAATAGGTTCCTTATCCATTGAACACAAGGCCATAGCTGATTAAAATAAACATGCAAAAATCACTTGGAAATCTGAGGTATTCAGTGAGAGAAAAGCACAAAGAACCCAGCTGGCAGATTACACAAGATGTAATCATTATTAACAGGCTTCATGAGTGCTTTTTATTTATTTATTTATTCATTACCTTTTTCAAAAAACTCTGACCTCCGCTTTAAGTTTTTCATAGATATGGGTTCTGACTCTGAGAGATGGAGAACAGGATACAATGAGGCACAGCAGAGGAGAAACAAGTTTGACCAGTGGAGATGCCACATAATATTACAAAAAAACCCATTAATTACACATATTAACTGCAGCAGTCAAGACCAATTCCCACAACTAAGCCAACAAAATGACACCCCCTACTGCTGTGTTTTTGTGTTCAGTACAGAAATAGTCCAGATCAATTTCATAACCTTTCTAATTGTTTGCTTTCCTTTTTACCTGTGCTCCTCATGGTCACCGACTCCTGAAAGAAACCTCCATTAACCCTGTTTGAAGCCACGTCCTGCAGGGAGAAATGGCAGGGTGTCCCCTCATTAAAAAGGTGCTGGACCGGAAACAACGCTGGGATAAAAATTGATCAAACCTGATTCAGTGTGAGTGATTCAGGGTCACTTACAACAGCCGGCTGTGGGGGGGCCTCTTTGGATGGCAGCTTTTCTGCAGAAATGTGTGAAGAGAAATCCAGGCTGGAGGTGCCAACGTTTGTGCCAGAGGTACCTAGAAGTATTGGATGATCCGTAGTGGTCAGATTGATGGTCTTATGGGTTTTAAATGGCAGGGAAGGTTGATTTCTGTCCCAGTCTGTATGCAGAATATGTAATGGCAAAAAATAGGATGTGTGTATGTACATAAGAATATGTTTTGTTTTTTTTTTTGCAAGTGTGCATGTTATTTTAATTCTTTACAGTACATAAACACTTTAAAGCAGGGGGCAAGGTTGCTGTTATGGTGTGGTTATAGCGAGCAGCAGGGAGTGACAGAGAAATCACCTTCCCCAGCCATGCAGCTGATTAAAGCTTTCATAAATCCACACAGTGTTTGTAACAAACTCACAACCACTGGACTTCACTAAACTATTTAGCCAGTACTGTGCGTTAGTTCAAGTGGGCTACTCTGGGTGGTTTATTATTTTTGGGAGGTGAGACCTATGTAGTTAGAGAAGTAAACCTGTTACACTAACACAATGAAAACAGCCCAGTCGTAGGACCATAGACCTAATCTGGGTTAGTTAACCTCAAGGAAAACACTGCAAGGATTGAGGTAGGAATGCTGACAAGATAGAAAAGACCACAAAACAAGAAAGAGGAAGAAACAATCTGTTCAAATAAAAAGGAAAACCAGAAGATACACATAAACCACACAAAGTGGGGAAAAAAGCAGAAATAAAGGCCACTGAGGTCAACACAATCCTCATCAGATGAGAAAAAAACTTACAGGTCCTTCATTGTTTAGCTGTCATGAGATCATTCATGGATGATTTCACAGTAGTTTACGGACCAATTTAAAGTGTCAAAACTGTTTAGCAACACAAGCAGCGTAAGCAGCACTGTCAGTCCAGGAATGCAACCCTTAAAGTTCAATTTCTCACTCCCACACAAGCAAAAACACACATACAGACAAAGTGTTCAGATGACTCACTGTTCTTGCCATGACGCCGTACGTCCATGACCAGACTGCCTTCCTGCAGAGCCTCCTCCATTAAAGACTTCCAGTCTGTGTAGCTCATTTCTGCCACCTTGTGCCCGTTCACCGTCAGCACCTTGTCTCCCGGCTGAAGCTGACACATCTCAGCTGAGCTGCCTGCACAAGACAGATGACTGGGTCAATAGCAGAAAAGAAAGTATGCAATTTCAGTATCACAGCTTCTACAGTACATAAAGGAAGAGCTTGATTTACAACATAAGACAGTGACTGCTTCTGATTTAGACAGCGATTTTGCTTTATGCTTTTTAATTACCTGGTAATAGTTTTTTTTTACATGTCTATGTTTGGAATGCAAATTAATTATACCCAAACTTTGTAATTTCAGCTCCTTACTCTCTAAATGTGCATTATCTTTATAAGTAAAGAGATGAAAATGAAATGAAACCTAACACAAAGGGTGACTCGACAAGGATGATATGATAGAACATGTATACAATACAACATCTATAGCAAACAAAGTTCTGCTTAAATACCCAGTAGACTGAAACTGTGACACAGCTGGAGTTCATGTGTTGTTGTGCGATGTGCGAGTGTTACTTATGCGTTACTAAAATACATGGGACACTGTCATGTGGAGGTGGGGAATCTGAGTATAGAGAGAAGCATAGGCCCAGCAGATCTGACCCAGATAGATGCTGCCCTACATAGGACTGGCACTGCCACTGCATTGGGCTGGAAAACCTGCTGACAGCTAGCCAGCAGAGCCTGGCCGTAAAATATAATAGTTTCGAGTATTACCACTGTACTGTACTGAACACTTCAGTTCGGTTCAGGCCTCTGCCTGTCAGATCCACTGGGTTTAACCATGGGGAATACTGAGCTGATGGTTGCCGGATTGGCTGAGTTCACACATTTTGAAACATAAATGAAGCTCTGCCCATACAAAATTCTAATTCTTTTGTGTGAAGTTACTTCACTATGTTTTGGTTGTTACCTGGCTGGATGGATGTGACGCGAGCCCCTGTCGAGTCCCAGGCTGCCTGGAAGCCAAAGTCTCTGCTGCTGTTGGGTTTCTGGTTCAGGTTGATCCGCATTTCACAGTAGTTCTCCTGCAAATCAAACAAAACAGGCAGATTTGAGTGCACAAACTTAATCATGACTTCCTGTCACTCTGGAGAAGAGTCAGAATGTCAGGTTGTGTGTCTGTGTGTATGCAGGCCTGCTTTGGCAAGAAAGCCTTGTATTAATAATTTATGGTTGTTGATTAAATGCCAACCTGTTGCAATTGTTTAATTTTTAGCAGTGCAGTGCAAGTCCCCTGTCATTTTTGGGCAACTTTTACTTTTGACACAATATTTTATTTACAAAACTAAAAACATTACTTCACTGTTCACACTGTCATTCTTATATAAAAGCCATGTGACAAAGATGCATTATTTTTCAATGCCTTCAGGAGAGCAAGCAGAAAAAAGGTGATCTGTTTTGCCAACACTGGAGATCACGTACCTGGCTGGTTACTTTGGCTGGAGCAGAACTGACCAGAGCTTCACTCTTGACCAGAGGAGGGACAGGAGAGATGCTTTGAGTAGAGGTGATGCTCTTCGCTGCAGGCTCGTCCACCTCATCCTCTTGCTCACTGCTGTGGGCTGAGCTGGACTGAGCCTCATCCTCAGAGGTCATGAACGCATGATAGCGGCTTGGCACGGACGAGTTCTTAGAAACAGTGACGTCACCGTTGACGCGCTTGTGCTGTTCAGGATAAATGAAGAAGGGCAAAAAATGTTCAAGTCTTAAAAATACGATAGTGTAAAACAGAAACACTGGACTGATGACTAAAAATATCTATTTTATAATGTCAAAGACCTTAAGATGGCAGGAAATCAGCTGGTGAATATGTTGTCAACTCTTTTGACACAACTGGACACAATGTAATCTCTTGCATTTACTGTGACAGTAATGAATGTGAAGAAGGCTGAGAACAGATGGTCTCACACTAAACACTAAAAACACTAGCTTCATCCATTATTCAAAGTGTAATTAGATCAGACCCTTGGCTAACATTGATGTACTCAAAAATAATACTAATACCAGACCAGCAAGGCAAATATTTCTTGAGGCCAAATAAACTCTGTCTCCTCCTGCCCTCTAGGTGTCCCTCGGTACTATAGTTTGTATTTAGTTGTTAAATTCATCCCTCGGTACATGTCATGTGCTGCGCTCAAACTATAGTTTGTATTTAGTTGTTAAATTATCTAGTACTCACTGCTGAGGCTCTGGGAAGTGAGGTGATGGAGGAGGGCTGGGTCCCAAAAGGCCTTGGTGTGACAACTGAAGTTAGACGTGTGTTATCTGATCTCTGGTAGCTCCTGGGAAGGGAAGCAGTAACCTTAGAAACCCCAGGAGGCTTGGGCTCCATTGAGCTGGACTGTGGTTGTTTTTTGTATAGAGAACCAGGGAAGGGGGCCTCCACCTCAGCCTGTGCACCTGATAATGGACGCCGTGGCTCGGGCACCTTTTGCAGGGAGCTGGAAGTGATGTTTGTATTCTCCTCTGTCTTGGCTGTGCTGCTGTGTTTTAAGACTGGACTCCTCTGTAAAGGTGCAGCTGCTGGAGGCTGGTAGCTATGGACAGAGCTGCGGCTGCTGGGAATGAGGGTGGGTGTGAAGTCAGTGCTCGTAGGACTGTCCATAATGTCAGCTTCCTGATAGGTGGGAGGGGAAGCAGCGTTTCCAGTAGCTGGGGAAGCAGCGGGGGGGTCGACCTCTTTCAGAGAAGGCTCAGGGTGTCCAGAGGAACGGTAAGGAGTATCAATAGTGTAGCTCCTGGCAGGAAGGGTTCGAGAACGAGGGGCAATGGTGGGTTTCTCAAATACATCGTCACTGTCATCCAAGTAAGAGAGAGATGGAAGAGTACCGCCACCTTTGTTTTCTCTGTGGACCAGAAATCGAAGGAGAACGGGGTGAGTTAAAGAGGTAAATAGGAAAAAAGTAGAGAGGAATGGATAAAATTAAAGATGAAAATGAAAGAGGAGGAGGAGGGACAGGATAAGTACAAAGCAAGTGAAATTTGGAGGGGAGGGGAGGAGAGTAGAATGGGGAGCACAGGTTGAAATAAAGAGGATGGGGTGGGGCATAAAACAGATGCAGGTTGACTGAATTACACTTTGACACTGACTGAAGGCACATTTATAGTCTGCTCATTTGTTCCTGCACAAATAATCCTGTAGTCTCTGCATTTAATATGGCAACATTTCTCATATGTATTACCTTAGCAATGCATCCCCTCCGAGGGTAAAAGGGTATAAAAAAGGACAAATTAAATTGTTGTTTTTTTTTTTTTTTTGTAAAAACAATACTAGAAAATAATTTGTATTCCATATTATTAACTCCACCACTACCACTATCCTTGCATTATCAAAAGTACTCAGTCAGGTGTATTTTCTCTTACCTGTCCTCTTCCATCTCCTTGAAGGTCTTGGACTTTCTCTTACTGCCGTATGTAATCTGCTCTATCTTCTCACGTTCCTCTTTCTTTTTCACTATATCAGAGTTGACACTCCTGCGTCGGTTCTTCCATTTGCTCAGGTCCTGTAGCAAAATTAAGCTCACATCACCTCATGCATCATTTCAGATCCATTCAGCTCATGTCTAGATAAAACACACTAGTTGTGTTGCATGGCTAACTGCACAGTGAAGTTGAGCAGGAGAGGGGAAGACAAAAAAAGAGAAAGAACTACATTTGAAGGTGTTCTATTTGTGTGCTTCAGGCTCCTCCCAGCTCATCTACCCCTGTGCACTGGGGACTGCGTGACCTAAATGTTGCTTTAAGACTCCATTATTTTGCTGTGACACCAATCAGGCGGCTGAGGGATGCACCACTGTCACCGCCAGTCAAATACATGTGTGTAACATTTTATTACTAACTTTTCTACCTAGGAAAAAGTATTTGTAATGGATCACTGAGATTGAAAGTTGGAGCGCCACTGGCTTTTATGAACAGTTTCCAGGACTACTTTGTACCAATGTTAATTTTATATAGATCAGTTATTTTCATCCTAGTGTCTCTGTCTCAGCTCATCTGTCTACATCATAACATCATTTCAGATTATTTCAATTACTAGTATTTACGGTGTTTGGTGTTTCTGGTCACAAACACTGTGCTTGGGAAATGAGAACAGTCCATAGTCAGCAGGCAGTGCTGCAGCAATCAGTGTCTAAACAGCCCTCTCTTCACCATGTGGCCACCTACTGCACCTGCTCTCCACACAGATCCCACAGATCAACGGCTCACCTTTCCCTTCAGCTTTATCTTTGTGAAACAAAACATTTTTCTGGCAAAGTTCTGCCACAGTCAGCTCGTCTTGATTTGTATAACGAAAATGGTGAGAAGCAAAACGGTACCCTCGAGTGTTACTATGCACTACTAATATTGGTTGCACTCACATCCTGGAAGCAAAACGGTACCCTTGAATGTTACTATGCAGTACTAATATTGGTTGCACTCACATCCTGCCACTTATCCTCATTCTCCTTTATCCGCTCACGGTACTTCTGTAGCTCTTTGTAGCGAATCTGCTGGACGACAGCAGGGTCGGTCAGGATATCGTCTGTTGATTTACTCCTGCGGTGAGAAAGAGTAGGAAATGTAAAAAAAAAAAGGTCGCATCAGCAGCTCAAGTGAGAAGTGGCACAAGCTTTATACAGGGTATCTTTTTTATTTTTATTTTTAACATTTAAAAAATTAAATCTACTCCAAGTTACACTTTCTTACCATTATGCCAAATAAACTGCAGAAAAAAAACATCATCCAAAACTCAAACAGTGCAACAAATCCCCCCAGTACCTCCCACCCACATACTTGGCACTAATGTTGAAAATAATTAACCAGGTGTTAGTGTGCAAACACATCACTCAGGTCAACCACAAAAAAGGGAGGTGATGGAAGTTCAGTAGGTTAGTATCATATATCACAGCCTTTCCCATCATGCAAAAGAGCAAAGTCACTTACTCAAAGCTCACAACCTATACAAACACTTTGTTTTCAATTACCTGTAAAGATTCACACGTCTCATATTACTGTTAGACTCTTTAGACTGTTGCTCAGTCATAACCCTCACTGGTTTACACTGCAGCTTAGGCAGATGACCCAGTGAACTGCTATTGTACATATCTTTTCATTATGTGCTATGTCAATAGAGCTTTATAGAGGAACTACCCACCCACCCTGAACTTGGCCCTGTGCCATACAATACACTATGTTGTGTGCCAGCTTTTAGCAGCGAGAGAGTGAGAAGAGCAGCACAATAGCAGGAGGCAGCAGGGTGCCAGAGCAAACGTAAAGTTGCCACATGCCTGGGAGCCCATATCAACTCACCTGTCCAAACGTGCTTGCACTGGCTGCTGTCTAAGAAACCAGAGAGAACCACAGACTAAATCACATCTCTGTGGATTAACCTTTGACAGTGAGTCTGAGAGTGAAAGGGTTAAGATCATCAGGCAGGTTGGTGAATCTCAGACCTGCTCATCCCCAGGCTGCGCATTTCAAATATACATGAGCCCAGCCAAAACATTACTCTGCTTGTTTTCACTCTGTACACAGAGGATAGAGTTCACGGTCTATATATAGTAGTGTCACCTTTCCTTTCTCTGACATTTGACTGGGGAGCTGTGTAGACATGTATTCTGCCAAAACAATGCTGCCTTTCTGGAGACTCTGGTTGTCACTGTTGCTTTACATATGGATTTTAAGAAAATCCAGATGAGCTTGATTTGGCTTAAATGGTTTGTGCAGGCTTGTGTGTGTGTCCATTCATGTGCAAACACAGCAGTACAGATTTGTGTTCAGGTTACTCTGGAGTCCACAAGTTGCATCTTCTCTCAAAGCTGCTAGAAATTCACAGGCATTCATGTCGGCCCAGACAAAACTCCATTTCAGTACCCTGCTTAGTGAGGTCAGTGTGTTGAGGATGTTATGTTTGGATATTAGCCAGGGTGGAACCTTTCCACAAATTCATTCTGCAGCAGTCTGAGCTTTACTTCTGTGTAAAGATCAATGTGCTGAGGAAAACAACAGTGTACTCTGGTCAGATCCATATTGTAAATATAGGTGAGGTCGATAAATGGCCAGTTCAATGCATTCAGTCACAAGATCATGAAGTTGTGTATTTTCTTTATTAACAATGAATAAGCAAAGCTAACCTGATCAGATAGGAAAACAAAAGCAAAGTTATGGGTCTGGTTGATAACGCTTATGAAATGCCAAATAATTTTATTAGTAATGTGTTGATACTTTATGCAGTTTAGTTCTGAAATCACACTCCAAAATACACAACACCGCTACATTTCTGGACAGCCACTCTGCATTTACAGTACATAGCATGTGTTCATAAGGTCAAATATACCATATATCCATTGTACAGAAAACCATAATAGTTCAGAGATGTTGCTGCAGAAAATTTCAACAGATTTCCTTCACTGTGATAAATGCAGGAGGTACCTATACTTTTTCAGAAATGAGCAAAATTAGGTAAAACTCCCATCTCGGACTGCAGGGACCTTCAGAGCAGTCCTTAAAAAAGTTGCATCAGCATGCAGTCTAGACCACTGCCTCACTGTCAAGCCAAAAATATTTCATGATAGACAAAAAATACAAAGACAAAAATGAAAATTTAACAAAGTGAAGAGAAACAACATCAATCTGCTTCTACAACTTCAGAGCTGCTAGCCTCTCCACCATCAACCTCTTCTTATGTTTAAGCCGACTGGCTTCTATAATAGCCTGCCACCTCTGCAGGTCACCATCGCTACAGGAAGAAGGCACTGAGGGAGTCATCTGACTGGCCGATTGGCTCTGATCAGAACAAAGTCCAAGCTTCCGAACGAGCATGTCATCCGTTTTAGGGTGGGTCTCCTTCTCAACTTGATTCTTTTTAGTTGCTGCTGCCTCTGGGGTCAGGGGACATGGGGGGCAGAGGAGTCTGGCTTTGAGATCAGGAGGCAAAGCCCAGGGCTCTGGGATGGGCATAGGGGCATAGTTGTCAGGGGCTCCTGAGAGTGGCCGCTGTTGCTGAGCCTGCTGGGTTTTCTCCTTACGGTACACTACATCGTCCTGGTCAATATCAGGGAAATCATTCTCTTCAGTGCTGCCACGGCCACTTCGCTGGGTGACAATATTAATTTGTGGCTCAGACGAGTAGAGACGACGTTTTCTACGCAGCTGAGTCTTCATCATAGCCAGGTTTGTGTTGGCCTGGAAGGCCAGGGTCCGTCTAGCAAACATGTCATCATTCTCCAAGTCAGGGATAATGCTCTCATAATCAAAAGGGTCCGGGGGCTCCCGGGGGTCTTGGCGCCCCAGGAGAGGCCACCTCTCACATTTGACCAGTCTAGGACCTGAGGTGGGGTCCACTGGGGCAAACACCAGAGGGGATGGCTGTAACAGAGGGGGCTCTATCTTGGGGAGCTGTGGGAGAGTGTGTGCTTGGATAGGAGGACTGCAGTATGGGCAAAAGGAGAGAAAAGGACAGAGATGTGATAAGTGCATGCATGCTGGTTCAAAGAGTAAGAAAAGGAAGAAAAGATACATTAAGCAGGTATAGTAATATCTAATTCAAAGAGATGAGCCAATGAGGACTTTACAATCACACTGTGATGCTAAAAAACTACTCTTCATTAGAACTGGGTCAAATAAAAACAGGATATTGCTGGGACACAGCCTATTTTCTACAAAGGTCAGTGCAAGCAAACTGTTTTATAAAGCATGTTAGAGCAACTACAGTAGCTTGACTGTGCATTTTATCATTAGTAGATAAGGAAGCAGCTCATCGGACATTCCAGCCCCAGCAGGAGTCAACTGTGCTTCTTCCTATAAAATCCGGATGCTCTAAAACATTCCTTCATTGTCACAGTCATGCAGCTGTATCGACCTTTTCCCCACAACGAGTGTGGTGGGAGTCGAGGCCTCATGTGTGCGGGAGTGAGAGGGAGAGGGGCCAGAAGAAGACGGAGCAGAGGAGAGCCAGGGACTGCTGTCACACTCTGAATCATCTGATGAAGAGTCCGACTTCTTATGGCTACAGCCGGCGACAGCACAACAGATGACAGAAAAGGGACAGAAGCAGAGAGAGGGTAAAAGGGACATAGAACACCAGATTATGAATCTTAGAGTCTAAAAGAAAAATTGGTATGCATATGTATAAGGATAGCAGAGTGAAGTAAGAAGTAAGAAGATATTGTCTAAGAAGCAGGAAATAAATTCTAACTGTGATATTTCTACTCTAAAACATGAACCATGTGTGTTTGTGTACATAAATGGGTTGTGTTTTAACGGCCTCACACACCTGAGGCCTTGCATCTTTTTATACCAGGGTCTCCTTTGAGAGCCCAGTTTGATCTTCTGTAAGTGAACATCTTCTTCAGGAGTCCAGAACTTTGGTAAGAACTTGTCATAAGATATGTTGGCAGCAGGCTGAGGGTTGATGCCTATCTTGCGGGTGTACAGATCATCTTGAATGGGGTCAGCATAGCCCACCTCATTGTCGTCATCCCCAGATTCATCGTAAACCTCCCTGAACAGGCTGCCAGTGGACACGCCTTGGTGGTGGTCCACCGCCACCGAACTGTGTTTGGGGGGCTGCGTTTCCCCACTGCTGCTGCTGCTGCTGCTCAAGAGAGACGGCCAACCACATGTGTCAAAAGAATTTTTCGGCAGCGGTACAGCAATCCATTCACGCAAAGATGAGCACATTCCTCAAGCACAAAAACCTCAAATGAGATGACGCAAGTATCAGCAAACCATAGCAAGCTCAAAACCAAACTGTAAGGGAGGCACAAATGGATTTGAGGAGTGGTGCTGCCAGATCAAATCCCTCCTCCAAGCTTGTCAAATTCAGAAGGAGCAAATAAAGGCATGCTGCAGCTAAAGTTCAAAATAATTCAAACAGAAACCAACAAACTGAGGCTGCAGAGCATTATTAAAGGTAGCGCACTATGACAAATGGAGTTGCAAATGGTTACAACTAACCATGCAAACTCAGGGTAAGAGAAGCGCTCTAGTTTGATCAGCCAGGCACATTAAAGTCACACACTAGTTTCACATTCTCTGACCTGAGGCAGGTCACATTCTGTTGTGGGGCAACACTGGGAGTCATAGTGACCTTAGGCCAGGAGCCATCTCTGCTCCTGGCCGCCTTTCCGCCTGCCAGAGGACTGATGGGCACCGCAAAATTGGTGGGGGGAGCAGAGGAAGGGCTGTGGAAGCGTCTGCTGGCCAGGTCATCCAGAACAAGATCTGGGTCCGGCCGGTCTATATCTGAGTCACTGCCACTTTCACACCCGTAGGCCCGCTGTAGTTGAGCTGCAGGCAAGGCACACTGGGATACTTGTGTGATGCCGTAGCAGTCAGAGGAAAGCCTTGTTTCTCTGAGGTTGTCATTCCACAGCACAGCAAAATAAAGACATATCAACCAGTCACAAACAACACAACAGCGCCACAAATACCGACAGCAATTGGAAAAAACTGAGTCAAAAACAGCCACAATGTCAACTTCAAGTACAAATTAAGGATTTAGATATGAACCTACCACTTCTAGAACACTTCTGTTATATTGCTCTTAAAAGGAATTAGAGCTGATTATTTAGCTGAGATGAGAAACGACAACTTCAGTCAGATCAGTTGTTGTGTGTGTTGCATCACTACCTGGTGAGTGTGACTTCTTCCTCTGTGGATGTGGAGTTGGCCCAGCTGCGTCGACTCTCCTCATCGCGCTCAGCCCGTTTCTTCCTTAGCGGAGCAGGTACGTAGCCTGAAGGTTTGTCTTTAGTGGGTAGAAACTGGTTAAACTGGGCACTGGCCTTGGGTGTGACGACTGCTGACCGGCGGTAACTGAGAGGGTCCTTGTTATCAGCCATCCTGATGGCAGAATCTGCTTCAGTGTCACTGCAACAACCTGAAGCATGGAAGATGACAGGAGACCGGGGGACAAACATGTGTAGGCTGGGTTATAAGAGAAATACAGAGGAGGAAGACAGAGGAGTGAGGTGAGAACAGTGACAGGGCGAGGGGATCGTGCTGTGTGTTCTGACATGACTTTGAAAGAGAAACAGAGGGGTGCAGGGTGGGGAGCATAGGCCTCCTCATTTACAAGCCAGCGTGGATGTCTGTGGAATGTCTCACTGCTCTCTCTTTATGGTGGGGGTGGGTGGCAGGGTACTGCTCAGTGACCAGTACTTCACTCTTTAACACATTTTTACAACACGTTTATCAGGAAACAAGGTCACAGTCAGGCTTTGACACTGACATGCCCATCCTCCTGTTGGACTTGGGAGAAGATTCACTGAAAGATTCACTTTCCAAAGCATACCACTAGATGGCAATAGGTATTTGCTTTCATATACCAGAGTCAACTTGCTGCCACTGATGCAGCATATCTACCCTGTTCACAAATATCTGAAGTTCTAGACAGATGAACTGGGTTATAAATATTCATGCAGAGATCCAATGTGAGAAAGTCTGAACACTTCAATGGCAATCTACCACTAGAGTATGAGACACACTGTCATAAAATAATGTTGTGGCTTATAAATGCCAAATATATTCAACTTTAATAAAGTAAAAAGACAAAAAAGAGCAGCTGATTGTCTTAAATCTTGTGTGAGACTGTCTAAAAGTTGTGTTCGTGTCTGTTTATGTAAAGATACAAATGACTTAACATCACCTACCCTCGCTGCTGCCCTTAAGAGTGGCGTCAGATGAGATGCTGTGGGGTCGGGAGCCCAGAGAGTCCAAACTGTCCAGGGAGTCGTCTCTCCTGTGTCTGCTGCCGCCTCCTCCTCCTCCTCTTCTTTCTCCTCTCAGTGGGTAAAGCTCCTCTCGCTCTGAGTACCAGCTATCTCCAAAACCACTGTCTCTGACGCTGCTGCCTTTCTGACTGGACGATTCCTGCAGAGCCTTTCATACACACACACACACACACAGGCAGATAATAGGGTGCCAATTACAATATTTAGCTCCACTGTGTGTGGTGTATGAGAGATCTCCCAGGTACAGTGTGAAGACTGAACTGTCTGGCTTTCTCAGTTACTGTAAACATTCAGTCCTATAATGTTTATAAGGGGGGGGGAAGCATGCTGCAGTTTAAATGAAATAACATTGTTAGAAAACACTGAATATAAATCCACTGTCACCTCTGTCAAAACAACCAGAGCCACAGTCCACACAACCTTAATGACTGTGTCTACTACATGAAAAGAATGTCACTGCACAGTAACACCTACCTTGGGCTACTTTAACCAGCATGGATACAAACAAGCAAAAACTTGTCAGCCATTATAAAAGACAATGGTTTTCACATCTGTAATCCACTGAAGTCTGCCAGACAATACAACTCCACAAACTAAACCCAGCCTAACCCAGCACCACTGAACTTGGATTATGATGGCTCAACGTACAAGGAGTGCAGTAACCAACTGCTATTACTGAAAATCCCTGGAGTCAGTTGAATTATAGAGGCCTTGCACATCACAACCTATAAATCTATGTGAAAGCAGAGTGCCAAATTCAACACTGGCATGAGCACGGGGTGGAAACAGGTTCCTTCAGGAAAAGAAGTGACTACTTTCACATGTGAAGTATGCAAATTGTGTGCTACTCTGTAAACAAGATTAAAACAGCTGAGTAAAGGGACCAGGCCATTTATGACTTTGGTTTTAGTGGCCAGTAACCTGAAGCCCCTCAGCCTATCACAGTCTTTCTCCCGCACATAGTCTACATAGCAAGGAGGATACAGAAACGTACTGTGCAGTAGCTGTAAAAGAGGATTTCATTCATACTATTTCTGGTTTCCACATGAAAATTAAGCTTTTGTTTCATGACATCAGCTGAGAGTGCACAATGGGATCATTACCCTCTTAGAGAAACTCACCTTGTATAGTGCTGTGCCTAATAATCCCTCAAATGGCTTAAAATTCAGGTGAGGTCCATCATAGAATTGATCGCATTGAGCTCGTCTTCCCAGCCAGTAAATGGTGATCAGTACCTGAAAAGAAGAAACCAAACAGTGCACAAATCATACATGGTTTTAAGCGAAAATTAATCGGCATTACCAGACAGAATAAATCAGATTATAGCAATAAGTCTACCCTGACTGATGAATATTGTGTGCAGTGCTAAAGTAGGTAATTGTTGCAGCCCTACTCTGACACAGGGTCATAACACACATGCTACACTCTTGCTTCCAGGCCCATCCAGAATACTCTGCTGCAGCCTCTGTGTGCATTTTTGGGCTGGTAAATGTAGTGCACTAAAGCAAACAAACACTTTGCTACATCACCTAGTAGATGCTGGTCCCCTGTTACACATGAAATGGTTCAAAGTGATATGGTTTTATGTCGTGCGAGATTGAAAGAGACTACTACAGATGGAGTGTGGAGCAGACACATGCAGGATGAAAAAACATAATGTTAAGTGAGAATGGCTTTCATCAAAATAATAAAAACAAGACATGGTTCCATGGACTTCCTTTAAATCACTGGAGGGCCACTATGGTCTTGAATTTGTTTTGCAGCTAGTAGTCTATTCAGGGATAAATGTAAAGATCAACTAATTACTTTTAGGTAGGATCAACACACATTTAGTTGTTGTACATCTAAAGCATACAGTACCCCCCAACCCCGCCAAAGCAAAGCAAAGCTAAGCAAAACATATTTTATATTTTTCCACTCACATTTTTCAGCCTCCTGTTGGTCTCTTGATGCCTGTGAGCAGAAAAGAGAGGTGTAAGTGTACGAGAGGAAACAATAAAATCAGAGAGGGAATGGCTGTGAGGGCTACGTGTTAGGCAGTGAAAGAGCTGGAAACTGACAGCGCAGTCCAGACTACAGCCACTCACTCTCACATAACAGCAGAAAGACTGGGAGAGAAACAAAACAAAACATAATTCTAAAAAAAAAAAAAAAAATCTAAAAGCATGGCCAGCCATAAAGAAAGGGGCTGCTACATTTGTGTGCTTATTTTAACTCTAATTGCACAATGAAGCAGGTGGAATAACATTTAGTTTAAGTTTGGGGACACAAAGAGCTCTTGTTTCTAACTCCAAACTAACGATAAAATCAATAACTGCAAATGTAACATCTGAAAACCAAACAAGGCTCTACTGTTGGAGCAACAAAGCTGCACACAAGCTTCCCCTGGTTAGTCATAGTTTTGACAGTTCGACAGTTGACCTGGCAGTCAGTAAATCCCTTTCCAGAAAAATGCCACCTAATTCTTGTACCTATGAAACAAAACAAGACTCAGTTTTAACCTTCAAGCTTGATATTACCTTTTTTTATGTACACTGTGCACCTGTCACCTCAGTCGACTGTGGTGTCTATTCAGAGGCCTAAAACAGTAAGAAACTGCCTACAGGACATACAGTAGCCATAATGGTAGCCGAGGATGCGATACAATCTGTGTCGCATCCTCCCTGCTATCATGTACTAATACAACACGTATTGTCTACCCATGAGCACTTGCACCTATACAAGGGGCAACCGAAGCACCTCCTGAGAATGTAACACATTTCTACTTTGTTATACTTCACAGACAAATACTCCTTTTACCTTCTGATGACTGATTTTCAATCATTTTGACTGAGGAACCTTTACTTGTAACAGAGTATTTTTGTATTGCTTTAATGTTACTTTTACTTATGTAAAGAATCACCTCCTCCACCAGAGGCAACATTAACTGCATGGGAAACAGATCAACTTTCACATCAGTGTGCGTTATCTCACACCTGGGGTTTCCAACATTCCAATTCCACAATGGTGAAAACTGAAATGGACGTTTACCAGTTTGGCATGTTGCAAATTTATGGGTCCAATAAAAGAGGTGGGAGGAAAGAACAAGCCCTTTCTTGTATGGTTCAGAAACAGTCAAAAAGTCAAAGATCACAGCAGTCCAGATAAGAAAAAAAGGGAACTCTACCAGAAACTACCACCTCACAATGCTTATTTATGGGTTGTGGTATTAGCTGTATGCTGTTAGACCAGAGAGCTCAAAGGACTGAGCACAATTATAAATAAACTATCACTTAAGCATGATACAGATAAGTTGTGCACAGAGCGTACAAGCTAGGAATAGTTCCCTGAAGTAGTAATGTCACTTAAAATAATCACATTTTGATATCTATTGTGTCAAGGGGAAATGGAGGGTGTTTGTGTGTGTGTGTGTGTGCTTTGCATAAATGCATGTAATGAAAACACTGAAAATTGGTCCACCACATTCCACTTAAATGCATAAAAGATGTAAAGATATTTTGTACTGTGACCATATCAAGGTTGTTTTTGATCTTTTAAGGTAAAAAAACTTTGTTTGGGAAGTTAAAAAGGACAGGTGAGGGTCCCTGAAACAGCTAATCCCTCTCAGACAATGTATATGTGCTGTAGAGTACAGAGCTCTAACAGGAAATCCCCCACTTTGACAAATTAACAGGACCTTCTCATCGCTTCCACAAGACATTCATTTCAGCCACCAGCTTCATGCTTACATGAGCTTTTGCCACAATCTTGCCTAGTCAGGGTAAAAAGGGAAGAGACGACTTATCTCCACAAGCCAATGACATCATTCTTCTTTTTATTTCCAGTGAAAATCCAAAGTTACTTGTACAATTCAACCACTTCTGTCACACAATCATTAACTACACAATCTCAAACACTTGAATAATATCAGACAACAAGCTGCTCAGTTAAAATTAGCTTCTGTGGTTAAGCTATAGTTATTTTAATTCCAACCAAAACTATCATTTTCTAACATGGCTCACAAGACAAAGTAAATGATCGTGTCAGTTCAGTCGGTCGATTCCCTGTGGCTTTCTGGCTATGCTGTACTTAAGGCAGAATGGTATGTTCAGTCCTACAGATAAACAAAATCTATAGGACAACGCTATGTATTGACTGACCTGGTGTGGACTGTGGTCTACTTGCTCTGCTGCGTTCAGTAACACCGCATGTAACATTCCTCATCTTCTACATGTTCTCTCACTGTCATAAAATACTTTGGATTTGAACACACACACACCCAGACACTCTCAGGAATCCTTAGTTTAAAAAAAATCAGACACAGAATGAGTGTGGATAAAGAAGTCAGCTGTGAGTGAGGGAGTACTGGGCATTATCGGGTTATTCTTGTCAGAGACACTGCAGCCTCTGTGAGCGAGGTAACAGGGTGAGGCTGGCATTTCACTCCCCAAGTTGACTGGAAAGCACAAATACAACCCTTGTGTTGGCCTTTTACAGCCAGGGCAGCGCTCATAGTGTAGAAAGTTTATTGGCTGATCACGTTTATCACATTCGTTTTCACAATCTGCCCACGGTTCACACAACACTGCAACAAGAAGTGACGGCAGTACCACATACTGAACCGTGAAATGAAAGCATCCCAAGTCAGCTCAGTCAACCACACCCGAAATACTAACACACAGGGCGTTCTATTAGTCTTCTTTGCATTAACCCATGCACATTCAGATTAGTTACAGTGAGTTTTGGATTATAGAAATTAGCACACACACAAGGCAAGAGGTATAATTTATATTGTTGTTGAGTAAGTTCTGACAACATGCTGTGTAATCTGTCTAAATTCATTTGAGAAACAACACATTCCTTCAGGTAGTTCAAACATTTGGTTTGATCTGCAGCCAGGGGTGCCATTGCATAATCCTCTTCATAAAAACGCACCACTCAGCCACACCTCATTATCTATTGTGTAGAAACGATCACTGACATTCCTCAAAGGATAATGAATTTTTGATGTGTATGTCGATCTTGTGCGTCTTTGTCTTAAGTCTGGAGAGCAGTCAACCCCTGTCAATAATTTGCTTAATCAAATGACGGTGTCAAGTGAGACTTTGGACCCCTCTCAGCAGGAGATTTGTTCTATCAGTTAATGGAGGTCACAGAACAAAATCTGGACTCACAGACACATTACTGCATTATAAAATGTTAACAAAATATTCTTTAGACCTACGTAGTATTACATCAACTTGTTAACAAACAGTTGTGTACTCCCAAATCCAGATGTTTTGAAGTAGAATTTGGACTTTTTGGTTTCTACCAACTCCTGAAAAATGCATTTGGCTCTTTAGCACCTAAATTTTCCACTGTGTTCACCAACTTGCTGCTTACTGTGCCTGCCTGCTGTTTGGTGCTGGGCAGATAGTACATGTACAGTACAGTACAGTAAGATTTCAGAGTTTCTTTTGATAACAACAGCTGCCTGCTGAAACTAAAAGTGATGCTATTAGTGCAAGTGAACCAAAACAGTACAGCTGTGGGCTGCACAGCTAAACAGTGATATAAAACTTGCTATAAAGCTCCAAAACTCTGAGGGGATGCTGCAGATTAAGGTGATAATTCTCTGTTTCCACCACTCATCATTGCTTGTCCTCCAAGGCATCTGAGATTTAGTATAAAACGCTTCACTGTCAGCTCAGATCTGTTGTAATTCCTATTAAATCTACTAAATGACAAAGATAAGTCTGAGGCTGCATGTAACTTACATGTACTGTAGATTCAAGATAGCATGTTTCAGTACATTGTGTGCAATGACAGTGCAGCTGTGGTTGGTGTTCACTTTTTAATGGATAAGGCCAATCATTTTATATATTAACAGTATTTTAAAAACCTCTCATACAGAAACTGAAACCAACAATTAGCCTCTAATCATTGTTAATGGCTGTCAGTCCTGGATTATTTTATTTGTCTGTGCCTTAGACCGCCACTGCCATCCAAAAAAATGAAAAACACATCAGTGAAACACACCGCTGCCCTTGGTGACATGTTTTCTTATTACGAAACACCAGACCCTAATATATTTTTAAAACTGTGTCCCGAAAGGCTCCGAGCTGCTCTAACTTTTTACAGTGTCTGAATTAAGCAAGAATCAAGGGCCCATGCACAAGATCTCTGGATATTTTTTTAATATCAGGGTCTGGTGTTTTGTAATGAGGAAGCACGTCACCCAGTGCAGCTGTGTTTTTCCCTGATGTGTTTTTAATTGTGTTTGACATCAGTGGAGAGCTATAACACAGACAAATAAGATAATCCAGGACTGACATACATTAACAGTGAGTAGCAGCAAATCATTGCTAGTTTTAGTCTCTGTATAGGGAGTGTTGAATATATCATTAAAATAGAAAATGTTAAACCTTATCCTTTAAGTCAGATATCAGCTTTAATTCGTTATGCCACAAATTGCACTTGTCAAAACCTTCAGAGAGGTCAAGGGGAAAGTAATTAGCTGACATTTAGTGTCATATGGGAACCAAGCATGTTGTGACATGTGCTGTGATCCTAATCAGATGTGGAGTTCATATTGCTTAAGTTCCACATGGCACTTGAAAGGTCTAAAGGAGATGGATGAGGTTAAATTGAACACTTTTAGATGTCATGATTCATCTGCCGCACCGTAATGCCCTCAGTTCCTGGGCAGCTGTTAAAAACTGACATTTGGTCTAAAGCAGCCCATGAATCACAGCCCTGGTGATGAATCAGATTCAGATTGGTCATTATTACACCTCTGGGTGTTCAGAGTGTGGTTGCACCCAGTTACAGTTCAATGACACGTGGGCTATGTGTGGAAATTTTCCAGAACATATCACCCGGACAAATTTGACAAATATGACAAATTTGTTATGGAATGTGCTGGCAACTGATAAATATCCTTATCAGAGAGCAGGTTTCACAACACAATGCAATAGAGAAATATAGACTGCAGATGGTGGTAAGGCTTCTACTACAAGGCTGCGAAGCTCAAAGGTCAAATTAGACACTGAATAATCTTTTATGACTACTGGTACAACACAGGCCAGTATGTGTTCTCAGCACGTCGCCTCAGCCATTACCCGAGTCTAGCTTCATGCCAAAAGGAGGATACTGGCCTTGTATATAATCATATGATAAGCACAAACTCTGTGGTCAGACAAGTCAAAACCAGTCAGGTTTCTTTTTCAATGTAAGATTGTTCAAACAGTTTCTCTAACAAAAATTAGACTGCAACTAATGTTTATATTTATTATTGATTTCCAGTTATTTTTGACATGATTCGCTTAACTGATGGACAAAAAAAGCCTAATTCTTAAAACCCCATTTGTGATCATATTTTAAATTGCTTGTTTTATTCAATCAACAGTCCAAAACCCAAATGTATTTTGTATTCTGTCATAGATGACAAAGAAACCCAGCAAATATTCATATTTCAGAAGCTGGAGCCAAAGAATATTTGGTAATTTTGCTTTAAAAAAAATTACTGAAAATAGTGGCAGATTCATTTTCACACTAGTTTCATTTGACTGATTAATCAGATTAACCAATTTAAGCAGTTTTACTTCGAATAACAAATCACATTTCATGATGCTGCACATGCAAAAGCAAAGCCATACAGATATGTGTGATCAAAAATGATATAAATAAAAGTGAATACAAATATATTAAAGCCAAGAATATGACAAAGTGTTGAGGTTTAGCCAGAAAAAAAATACTAGCCCTGTGGAAACCAACAATGAGCACCAACAGGACAACAAGCTTGTTGCTGCTGAAACAGAGAAAAGAGAAGCTGAGCAAAGCACCTGTCAGACTGGGTTTAAGGGAGTGGAGGTTGGATACACACCAGGGGCAAAGACAGCTGATAGGGACAACTTTCTGTGTGTGTGTGCTCTCCATGGCTCATTTGCCTAAGGTGTGATAAGCAACAGCGTCTGCAGCCCTATTTGACAGAGTCTCTTCGTGTTACACTCTGTGTGCCATCTCTCTCCATACGAGTTATAAATACAGCAGCTGGGGAACACATAATTGTGCCCACAAATATAAATAACTCTACATTGTTCATCTTGTTTACAATCCTAGGAAAAATAACATTTAACCCAGTGAAAATGTGCTACATATAAAAACAAGAGTGACTGCAAAGTTTCCTCTGTATAATTCAACAACACTGACTCATTAACAAAACAACTGAAGCTCAGCTAAAAATGAGAACCTGCAACTGCTGAGCACATTTGAGATGAGTGTTATTGTGCTGTAGCAGCAATCGAAGACACAAAAACTATTTAAAATATGTCTTCTCCTCTGAATGACCCGATCCCTTGACAAACCCCATATGAGGCACAGTGACAGAAACACAACCAGTAAACACACTCAAACACAGACTGGTATACTCACAGGAATACTGTACATGCAAAGGGGAGAATGTACTGGGAGGAGGCAACTATTAAAAGCTCTTTTACCATTCCAATCAGTCCTGCTTGTCAAAGTGACCCTCAGGTCGTAAAAATAGGATTACGAGTTCCCTCTGACCAAACCCCTTGTATGCAGGCAGACATGAGGGCAAAGACCTCACTGTATACTATATACTATATAAACGTGGGGAAGGGATTTCATGTGGCACATTTGAAAGATTTAATGCATATAGTGTTTGATTCTCAGAAAAACACATTATTTCAAAATGCAACAGTATGCCATTGCTTTTAGTAATAAAGTTCAGTTGGTACTTTTGCATCTCATAGTTAGCCTTAATTAGCTTTCATGGCATAAATGTCATTTTTCCACACTGTGAAAATCAAAAGGTTATGCAAGAGGGGAAATGTCTGGTAACACACAGGGCATAAGGTCCATAAGAGAATTATGTTTATATTTATGACACTTAATCAGACATTTAGTGAGTGATATTGTATCTTAGAGCAGTATATCTTCTGCTGTGGAGAGAGGGTGTGTTGTGATAAAAGGCAGGCAGATTTGTTTATTTAGAGTTCATATTCCAGTGTATGCTCAGTACACCTGTCTCTCTGTATGAGGCTTTGTCACGACTGTGGTTTCGACATCACTGTCAGTGCTACTGAACGAATGACAGCCTGGTGTACAGCAGATCATGGGACAAGGCTAAATGGCATAGAGTTAGAAAACACAAGCCTCCACTGGTTCACAGCATTTTGAAGCATTAGCTTGTATTATGTCATTAACCAAACCTGGATATTGCACATCTATCTTCTTTAGGTCTAAAAACCTTCAGGTATTTGCTGCTAAAGCACTTTACTGTGCTGGTGCTTGCACAGTGCTGTGCTGTAGAGCCACTGAGAGTGTGTGCACTGCCTTACCCAGCTCCTTCCTGAAGGCACATTTGTATAAAACCCAAACAGGTTGTTCAGCATACCACAAGCATCTCTACCCTCCATGCAATGGATATAACAGCGACTGTCTAAAATTAAAAAGTAACAGATACCGTGGCAACGTCATGCAATTCTTGTCCTGCACGCCAACTCAGACAGCATCTAAGCTGTACCTCTTTCTATTTAAAATATTGGAAAGACATTTCTCTCTGTCTATAACTTGCATCTGACAATAATCACTTATTTCCAGGACACATTTCTTTGTGACCCAGATAATAATTTGCTAAACCTTTTTTAAAAAGGAAGTGAATTTCATCAGAAATTTTTCAAACAGATCAGAGATCCAGAAACACTACATTATTTATTGTACTGATGTGAGGCTTCATTAGTTGTTCCCTTTGTACCATTTTGAAGAAACATATAGTGCTGTGCCTCAGCAGGTGCTTTACCAACATAAGAATACATACATACTGAAACTAGCACTAACCCTTTGTAACACTTCTTGGGTTAACTTGAACCACATGAGGATATGTGTCTGAAGTACTATGTAATTAGTGTGAAACATTTCATCCATGCTGTGCATAAGAATGGAAGCATAAATAGAAGCTTAAGAAGATGGTTCAATAAAGGAAGAATCAAGATTATTTATTTGTGTTTACCTTAACTCCATGAATGGTAAGGATGGATATCAAAGTGTTAGTACCAACATTTTACAGTGCTCACAAGACCAGAACTTACTTGACTGTGACTCTTGTGGTTAAGTCCTGAAGATCTCCGGGGTGAAAGAGTTGTGCTTCCTTTAGCCCAAGCTTCCCGCAGGCCTTGAGGAAGACGTTAAGGTTGTCCTGACCAAAGAACAAAGCAGAGATTAGGGGTGTCCACCTTCAAAGCAAAGAATAATCACTCAAGAATTCTCTGGCAGAGGCACAGCCTCCAACGTATTGCTTCCAAAGTTCATATCACAGAGAACAGAGAAGGACAGGGAGGAGCATGTGTGTAGCAAATGAAAACTGACCTATTGCTGAACACACACAAACACACTCACAGGGGGTAGAGGCTGCGTGACAGGAACTGAGTAACAGCAGCAAAGCTACCTGGTGGCTGGGTTAGGGCGGACACAACGTCAAAGGCGTGGGTGACATCAGAAGCTTTATACAAGTCCCACCCAACCGGCCATGCGAGTGCAAAACTGACACACACAGGAGCACACTGCCTGCTGTCGCCTCTTTCTTCTCACACCCTGAAACTTGCCCTCCCCTCCCTGCCATGCCCTTTACTCGAAAATACCTGAGGAATCTGTGGGGCGGTGGAGTATTTTGGAGACATTCTGTTGCTATGAAACGTGAGGTCGGGTGACAGAAACTGATAAATATTGAAACAACTCATGACATGGGAGTGGATGGATGGTTTCTCCTCCTACACTATGTTGATCATTTTATATTGCATAAGGTTTGTAAGTATGCACATGCTTTACAAAGATGGGAATGCACTGCAAGATAGTGAAACTGCATTTTGCTTCATAGATACTGTATACACACATCTCGTGCATTTCAACTGAATCTTAACCACAAAAGCACCAGTCCTTCCTGGGGTTATGACTTTTCCAGTTGTGATCTCCAACTGTCTTGTTAATCAGTCTGCACTTTCCATTGGGAGTGCACTACTTAAGAGGGTTTCATGTAATGCTACATGGTTTTGATATAGGTTGGACTAACTAAGGGGTAGCCTGTTCTATATTTAAATGGCAAACATGGTTATTAGCAAATGATAGGAAAGAGCTGACCCCTCAGCTCAGGCATCTCTTGCTAACAAGCTTTGCTTGTCTGTTAACAGCACTTCGCTGCGCCCAGCTGGTCAAGATTCAACCCCCCTTCCCTTGTATGAAGGCACTGGAGTCATGGTTTATTAAAAATGACAGCAGAAAATTTCTCTTGTACTACTTTGTCTTAAGCTAGGGCTGCCCCCTTACAGTCTAGTCTAGAATAGTCTAGAGACCTGTCGAATGAGGCTCTTCTAATGGAGCCATTGTTTTTATTTTATTATATTTTTTTGTCAGCCAGTGTGCATTATAATAGAAAGTAGCTCCAGTCCGGTAGTCTGTCATCTTCTTCTCCTCATTTTGGTGTGCCAAGCAGCAGTTTGCTCAATGCTTCCCACTGTGGTCACGGGAGAATACCCATTTCAACGGTGACACTGTGTGATAAATGAATGTACATAAAGGTCAAATCTATTTAACAAATTGCAAAACGAGAAGAAAGGGACAACAAAACCCACTAAGATAAGCCATAAAAGGTGAGATTTGTATTTTATTAAACACTGTGGCCTAATTTTAAAAGAGAAAAGACTGTCGTGACAATGTGGCTGGTTTTTGTGAGTCCGGTTTGTTTACCCATCTCTGGTAAAGAGCAATGCACAGCTGCTTATCAACTGTTTCTGTGACATGGATCATTCCAAATGGGACTAGGAAGCTAAGAAAAATGCGCAGGAAAACATTTCAATGAGGAATTATAAATAAGAGGAATCATTCCCAGTGCAAGCTGGCACACATCAAACGCACAGTAACAACACGCGCTGCGGTTAACTGATGTGAGAAGCTCAAACCGGATATTCAACTAGGCTATAACCATGACTCAGAAGAACAAATATTTCCTATAGGAGCATTGATTCAACAGAAATACTGAATCAAAGCTCTGTCTGTCTCGTTATTCTGACAAATCCATATGGCAGCCAAACATTATATATATCGTCAATTTAAATAGGTCACAATTTAAATAGGTCACAATTTAAATAATTGATTTTCTGACAGTCTAGGTTATGAAAAGAAAGAAAGAAAAAGAACTAATAGTCACAGTGAAGAGCCGACTGACAAAATCCTTAGTCAGTTACAGCCCTATCATAAGCCCTTTTCAGACAGGCACTGGAACCCTGAAATTCTCTAGACATCACCCGGGGGGAGCTGTATGTGAGAACACAAATGTCTGAGCCAGTTGACTAGGACCATAAGTAGGCTTTCCTCTGCCAGCTCCCTAGTACAAAGTCTGTGTAAGGTCCAAGTGAGCTGGAGTGAGCTCATGTGAGAAAACAAAAGTGTATAATCTGGAGTATTCACACGGAGCTTGTGGGCATATTGATGACATTCTATCATGTGACTGGCGTAAAACCAGAGGAATGCAAACATGTAATTGTGAAGAACAACAGTTATTTACAGTGAAGACACCAATGAAAATATCTAACTGGAGACATGACGTGATTCAGGAACTTCCGTCGTTAAGAGCCGGTGTCAGAATCATTGGTCAAGGAAAAAGAGTTGTTAATGACCAAATTACAAACGGGCTATGTGATCAGAGTTCATGTGTGAAAACGGCTTTATTAAAAGAGACATATTTTCTAGACTGATATAGGATGGAGTAAATGAGGTAACTGCATCCATAATGAAAAGTAAGTTCTCCTCTCTCATCATTTGACCACACTTGCTAATATTATTAAGAAATTTAAGGTTCAGTAAACCATAGCTGACCTCCCAGAACATGGCTGCAAGAGAAACACTGACCCAATATCTGATCTTGCCATACAATATCTAACATTATTACATTTTTGTCTGGCTAAGCTAATGAAGTTCAGTTAAGGTTATAGCATGGCCATGGTCTTGGAAACCAGTTTATTAATATATAACATAATATGCAGGAGGGAGGGTTGTCTGCAGGCCTAAAAACACAATAAACTTTATTGTTAAAACATCAGTAAAAAATCAGTAGAAAGGATCTCCCATTTAAGCCCTGTTTTTCCAATGTAATCAGGGCAAAAATAAAAGTATAACTACATCACTTAGCTGTGAATGTCAATTAACTTACAAACTAAAGCCCCCTGACAGTCAGTCCCTGAACATGCAGAGCTAATGATCATGAAAGAATGTTATGCAGAATTGTGGCTGCACATAATCCTGCTAAATATGCCGTACCCATCCAGCAGTCTCTAATCCTCTCATGCAAACTTGGACCCTGATTAAAGCACTTTACACTAAGAAATGCCACAATTTGACTCACAAGGTGTTCGATGGTGTATAAAAGAACCTTCGTTTCTAGTAGTCACATTGTGGCCACCATTTCTTCCACTGTGCTCTTTGTCTAAGATTGGTATACTCTACAATTACCCTCAACTGACCTCTAGCTGCGTTTCATACACCAAGCAACACTATGTTTAAAATATCAGGCTACACACTTTCAATGCCTGTCACAATAAACCAAGAGGAGAATACTTGAAATGTTGCCTCTCCTGAAACAGGCCCAGTAAATGACCACTCTGTCCCAGCAACCAGATCCAATCATAACATGTACCAATACAACACAAACACAATAAGAACATGGTCAAATGCCAGTCACTGCACACACACAGATGACTGCACACATTTACAGGGGTAAAGAGTTCCTCAGGGCTACTGAAACTGTTTACCTCCTCCCACTGCTACCTCAACTCACCGAGGAGTTGGTATATGTGGGAACATCCATGCTATGTCAATTACAGTGGGCAGAGGCCAGCAGAGTCATCCTTAACTCCATCCCTTGAGCTCAATGGGCCTCAAATCTGGGCCCTCACGCATGTACCGGCTCGCTGCCCAGCACTGGTAAAAGTAGAACAGGGCCTGGACCAGGGTGCCATAACCCAAACCCACAGCTCACAGACTGCTCATCAACAGACAGAAAGAGTGATGACATGGGAAACATTCCCATGGTCACAAGTGAAGCTAAAGAATAGACCTAGGTCGGCAGCCAATGTTGCTAAATATTCTGCAAAACCATATATTTCAGTTTTTCCCCACCTTTCCCTGACTGGGCTGTTTTTACTATGCCAAACCTGAAATCTGGTATGGATTTGGAGCCTTGGAAAAAAAAAGTTCTGAAGTTATGAAAATAAGTGTAGAAAGCACACATTTGGGTATTAATGAGGCATGTTTGCTTATCCCCTGTTGTTCAGCAGTGATTAGTCATTCTCGATCTTCATTACAAAGAGAGAGCACCAACAACATTCCTTTTGTTCTTTCTCTGGTGTATTTTTCTTCCACATGCCATTTTAGAAGTTCGGAATACTAGAAGGGCAGCATTTTTCCACTCTCTTCTTATCTGTCAACATTTAATGGAGATATGTAGCACACATTAAAACAAACCCTATGCAATAACCTGTACTAGGAGGAATTTCGGAGTATACAGCTCAATCCCAGCACTTAAAGAACAAACTCATCAGCATTTATAGTGATGAGAGATAGGGGACCAAGCAATCTTAAGAACACTACATGAGAAAAGCTTTTCTCACAGCAAAGAAACAGTGAGTAATGTTTGTCTGGAGAGTCCTCCACCTTTCTCCATGTGGTTGGCAGTAACTCATAGTTGTGGGCCAAGCAGGAGCCTTCAAATCTGAGGGAGAATTTATGATCAGGTGTTCTCAATTTTTTGTCCAAGACTCAAAAATACAACACCAATGCTACTGATGGAGGAGTTACTTTACCTCATTACGTCAGCAGCTGCCACGCCAGTAATGATTTCCCTCATAACACAGACATGGCGGTACTTTATTTAGTACTGCAAAACAATGTTTACTGTTTACATAGAGCCTGAGCACCAGCCTGTTTTTTTTTTTTAACTGCCAACCTGTCATTGTCTTGCCAAACATATCAAGTGTCACTGAACCCGCAGACACACACCCCCTGGGTTAGGGTTGGGGTTCTCTATAATTCCTCTAGACAGCTGGACTCAATTACTCCCACAACAGAGAGCTTTGTGAGGGATGGGTTTAAGACAGGTTTTTCAACCCTCTACTTCCCGAGAACTTGTATGCAGACACTCCCAAAGCATTTATTTCGACTGAGCCACTGTGGCACCAAATGCATAGGCCAGAAGCTGACTCAGTAACACTTATTTACATAAACCAAACTCTGTCCCTTCCTGACCTCCAATCACTCAATCAAAGACCTAATTATCATACCAGTACAATGACTTTATGTCTTAAAAACTGTAGGTTTGATTGAACACAGGATGGCAGGCATTCTATTTAGGGAGCACTGAAATGGGGCCAGTGGCCTTTCAAGCTGTGCCACATTATCAGTGTGGATGGATATGAAGAGTGTCAGGTCACCGAGGCAAACACCTCTCTCTCATTTGCAGCAGTGTGTTAGACCTGTCATCAGTCAGCTCAATTGCCAAATGTCGCGCTGCCCAAACATGGAAACAATACTGTTATAAACTGTGTATGAAGGAAACTAGGATGAGCTGTTGATGTTATGTGTTAGGATATCATGTAAACAAACTCTTGTACAGTACATCCAACATCCTGTAGCTCACATTTGGATTGAATACGAATAGAAGATAACCTACCAGTCCAGCTATAGGTGTGGGCAGCCTGTTAACCCTCTTGATAATACCACGCTTGATATTGTTGATCAGACTGTGGGCAGAAAAAAAAAGAGATAAAACATCAGGTAAAGGAAAAGGGTAAGTGAATGCACTTGGTCACTGGCAGGCCTAAATGGAATCTGCAGATTTTTTGTTTTTGTGGTTTTTCAGGATGGAAAACTGTGGAGTTCTGCAGTGTTTTTTTCTTTTTTTGCTTGTAATGTAAAAGAAAATATTCATTTAGCTAACAATGAATATTTTTTGAGCAAAATTTTAAGCATAAAGACGCATTAAAACAATCTAAAATAACCTTGAGCAGGGTGAAAAGAAACCACTTTATATTAACTTTTAAATTTGAGAATTTTTTTATTTCAGACATTTTAGGACATTTAGAGTGTGAACATTTGTTGGAAATTCCAAAATCATAAAATTTAAAGACACACGGCCACTGAAATACAAAGTAATCACATGTAAAAATAAAAAAGGGGGTAAATGGGATAACAGTGTGCGTTTTCAGACCATCTCGTCAGGAGACATTAATATCTTTAATAGACATTAACCTGGGTTCACATAGGCTACTGAGGGGAACAGCTCTAGAAGTTGACATGAGAAGTGCCACAGATTGTTGTGTAAGGAATAAAGAAGCGCTAGGGAGAGATGTGCAACTGGCCAATCAAGGTGTGAAGTAGATGTGAATGTCAGATGGCTTGGAAAATGACTGAAAATAACAAAAAACATTCACGACATCACACAACTGATGTGCACATGCAGGCGGGGGCGTTGGAAATCTGCGGGTGCAGATTCCATCTGGGCCTGGTCTTTGGCTAAAATGGTCTAACTATCGAGGAAGGGAAGAAAGACACCGTGCTGTGTGTTTACGACTTGGTTTAATGGTAGCCACCTGGCTTCAGTTTAATAAATAGCCAGTGCCACACCATGATGTAAACACACTGCCCCCATCTGCAAAAATATACTCTACACTACTGACACAGCCCCAAACAAATGTCGGATCACCATATATCAGTTCATAAAAGCAGTACTGATTTTTGACTGGTGGCAATTCATTTATGGTGTAATTCAAAGGGATGTTCAAGCCCAAGAGGTGAAAATTCTAAATATCCATAATAATAATAATAATAAAAAAATGCAATAAATGTTTTGTAACATGACAATAGCAGTGCTTATGTCTGAGAGATTCAGTAGCATATTCAGATCTTCTAGTCAAGTAGTAATACTGTAGTAAAAATACTTTGATAGGAGCAAAATTACATTAGAATTAGCAGCAAAATATACTAGGATTAAAGCTGCAATTCACAATTATTTTCTTTACTGATTAACATCAGAAAATGTAAACGTCCATCACAGTTTTCTTGAGCTCAATGTTATTAACTGTCCTGTTTTGTCCAATCGACAGTCTAAAACAACGCTGGCCAATTCCAAATTGAATGTTGTAATGTTTTAGAACAGGGCTGGCCAATTCCAGTCCTCGAGGGCTGCTGTCCTGCTTGTTTTCCAACTATCCCTGCCTGACCTGCTGCTGATTACCTGGCTCAGGTGTGTTCAGCCAGTCAGAAGCTGGAAGATACCATCTTAAATGAAAGTGGAGTGAGGAAAGATAAACTGAATTGGTATCTTCCAGCTTCTGACTGGCTGAACACACCTGAGCCAGGTAATCAGCAGCAGGTCAGGCAGGGATAGTTGGAAAACAAGCAGGACAGCGACCCTCGAGGACTGGAATTGGCCACCCCTGATCTAAAACATTACAACATTCAATTTTCCTAAATTGTAAAACAAGAAACATCAGCAAATTCTCCCATTAGAGAAGATGGAACAGTCAATTGTTTGACATTTTGCTTCAAAAATGATTAATTATAGGACTTGACTTGCCAGTTAATTTTATGTAGATCAACTAATATGTTAATTGACTAATTATGACATCTTATTTGGTTGTAAACATGTAAATAGCATTTAATGATGTATCTTATCAGGGTGGAGCTAATGGGAACTGCTGTGGGGTGGTTACATCTACTATATACTGTAACATTATTCTATTATATAATTTATCATATGCTTTGTATGTAAAGTAAAAAACAAAACAAAAGAAAAACCATTTTAAAAAAGCTTCAATGCCCAGCATGAATTTAATAATTAGTTAAAGCAATTCTTCTCCCCAGTCTTCTGCTTTCTCGACAAACACACTGGGGGTGGATGAGATGGGGAGGCATACGACTTCACATGAGCTGATAAAACATGTGAAGAAAGTATTCCAAGGGTATTTGGGTTCAAGTAAATCATTCAACAGTGAAACAATTGAAAGCTGTAATGATTCCATCAGATAACGCCCACTGGAAAGCTAAGCAGGATATCACCATGTGTGTGACCTACACTAGACATTCCTTTTCAAGCAGATGAGATAAGTAAGCCACAACATAACAGGAATAGAAGCTGATTTTCTAGGTGAAAGCGATTCAATCTCTGTCTTCCTCTTCCTCAGGCTGAGAAAACATAAACATCTCTGTGGATGAAAGTGTCTCTGTTGTTCTCTGAGAGTGAGCAAACAGTGGAGTCAGGTTCAAATCAGCAGAATGGGGGGTTTCTTCTTTGAACTGATGCCAGTAGAGGTCTGAACGATTCTGTATGGCCTGCTGGTAATTACAGCTGCCTGCTGATTTGTGCAAATCACATTATAGCGTCCATCAAGCAGTGCCGCCCATGTACAAATGCACAAAGAACATGATATTAGCCCTCCCACACAACCACACACACTCCTGACCTAAGAAAAGCCAGTTCCAGAAGCAATTTGAGAGTCAATGCAAAAGCCAGTTCTGCATAGATAAATTTCGTCCTCTAATTCATCAAAACTCTTGGTGCACCCAGGCACCCGGGTCCCCAACTTTCCACTGTGGTTTCAGCTGGAAGCTTTCCATTCACTACATGGCTTTTGACAGCTCTCATTATTAGAGGATGGGACTCTGCCCATCTCCAGACCTGTAACATATGTCAACCAGTCAACACAACTCCGCTTGAAATAGATCACACATTATATTTTCAAACAAGACCCCGGAAGGTAGACCTGACAGTGGAAACATCAAATATGTACATAACAGAACCTCTGTTGTGCTGCTGCGGAACACCTTTTGTGGCTGACAAACAAACAGTGACCCGGTAAGGGGTCTGCCTGGGAAATATCAGCAACACTTACACTGGATCGCAGACCTGGGGAAAGCAGGGGGCTTCCATATGAATGAGTGGCATTTGAAAGGTGCCTGGGAAAAGCAGAGTACTTACTCGCACAACAGAACGCCATTCTCCAGCGCTGATCGGAAGTCGTTGCTCCCAAATTTTTTCTTGGTTACTGCCTGGAAAGAAAGGAACATAAAACAGTGAGAAAAACAGAAAGAAGGGCTGGGTTTGTGTGTGTGGTGAGGTGGGCAGCCTTGAGAAGAAAGGTAGGATGTTGAGAACAGTAGGAGGGGAAGTCAGAGGTATTTCCTCCTGAGTTCCTACAGTGTTGAGTCACTTCTTCAGGTATTCCTTGGGAGCTTTGGAGTCTCTCGGTTCTTGTCCCTTTTATACTAAAAACCTCTGGTAAATGGAAGAGCTGTGCTAAAACTGTGCCGGAGCCAGGCTGCCCAAGCCACAAGGCTATGGCAGCATCTGGAGCTCTGCAGAAACACAGCACTATGTTACAGCCTCATGCCTTTCCCATGATCTCACACCACCACCGCAGGAACACCATGGGCCATTATGCAGGCAAATATACACATACTGCATACAGGACATGCAGCTGTACACACTTAAACATATTGCATGCACATATACACACACGGTATACACAGAATCAAACAGCATATTTGATTTTAAACACAACACTTTTCTGTACAGTTTTTAATTCTAAAATGAATAGCCTTTCATATACTGTATAAAATCTATCTTTCCTCTAAAACAGTATGATTTTTGTGGTTTTTCTTTTAGGCAAAAGCGCAAGTTTGTTATGAGATACTGAATTCACGCTAATGGCCATTCCACAACAAGGCTTTGTGTTGTATTTTGTTGGGATGTTTCCACCATCAGATGCTTGATTAAATCAGCACAATCCAACGCAAATTAGAATCTAGCGAACAATTAAAGTATTCACCTCTACCAGTTCAGCACAGTCCTCCTTATTTGTTATTTTAGAAAACAGCTTTGTTTACTTTGCATCTGGATGTGCACCAAAATATTCAAATGTAGAAAGTCATACATAAAATAGATGCAAAACTTTTTTCATTCTAGTAAATGCAGTTCTTCATGAGTAAAAATCCAAAATGTTCCAAAACGCCCTATCTTGCAATGTCTAAAAACATTTTAAAACATCCTGATTCTGGATCCATATCAAATACTACTTGTTGCCTGCCCAATGGCCCAAATTCCCTAAATAGCTCACGGAAATTAGTCAAACAAACACAAACTGGACTGAAAGCTGAACGTCCTTGGCAGAGGCTGTGACTACATTCACAGACAGGCTGTAATAGTTTTGGTGCAGAATAAGTTCTGTAATAGCTGATCTGTGAGGATGAGTGTTATTTTATTCTAGAAGTTGAGAATACTCAAAGTTATATTTATGCAGAAGGTACTGGAGAGGTTGTTAAATGAAATATGGAAAGACTTCACTGTATTGTGTTTGAGGTCTGCATGGAAATTAATTAATTTACATTACCAACACAGCAGATGAGCACACATATTACACTGGTAGGACAGCTGGCAATAACACAGTTACATACTTGCAAACACTCTCATACACAAAGCAAAACGAGTTGGACAGGTCTACCGGGCCAACTAAATTCATCAGACATGCCTTGGCTTTTGTTCCTTTTCCTTTAAAGGCGAAAGGATGAACATTTGGATTGAAGCTAACCACGTCATTTTGAGGGGGACAGGAGAAACCGGAGAAAATATGTAGGCATACTCAGAGGAAGACACTCTCAGTATATTCAAACATGGCTCACTTGAGAACACAACTTGAATAACCTGAGACAAATACCCATCATTCCAAGGGAATTAAATCATGTTGTATTAGATGAATAGGTTTGACGTGACACAGATGTCATTTGCAGTGTTTCCGTATATGCACAATGTGATCAAGCTATAAGAATGTCCTTTTACAAAACATACTAAGGACTAAGGTGTTGGCCTTCTCCTTCATTGACAAAACAGAGTCATAACCAGACAATGAAAACAGAAGAGAAATACAGACAGACGTGCGAAGCTATAAACGCACAGATGCACACATATTCACACACAAAGCAGACAAACTTAACAGTGGATAGGACATCTTGACCCCCTACTGTTGTATGTACTGTATGAGGGACCAGCAGCTGGGATTCACATAAGTGCAAACAAACAATACACGTGCTGCTTACTAAAGACATTTGTTTCTTTGATGTTTTTAATCAAAGTTACATCAGGCAAACAGAATGAATGGGCTACTTAAGATCTAATCTCTTTGTCCAAGTGTGGAAGGTGGGACGCACTCTGGCACTAGCAGGCTGTAACTGAATACTCTTCTCTATTGTTATCTTTAGGGGTATTAACTGCTTAGATCCAGCCTACTGTTCCCCCCCATTAAACCTGCCAAACAACTCTCATCTGCAACAACATACTGCTACTCTATTTAACAGGCAGAAGCAGAAATGTGAAAAACAGCTCATCTTCCTGCAAACCCACCCTCGTTCCCCTCAAGAATGTGCTGCTGAATGTGTTGAGGGACTGACTCTCATGATGACTTTGCCCCACATTATGTAGCCCACAGATTTCATTATGTGCTCTTCAAGTCTTCTGATGTTCCTGACACAACCCTGACTTGAACCCGGGCCACAGCGGTGAGAGCGCTGCGCCTTACCCCCTAGCCTACCAGGGACAGCTATGTGAAATCCATCCATCCATTTTTTATACCGCTTAGTCCCAAACGAGGTCACGGGGGGCCGGAGCCAATCCCGGCTACGTATGTGAAATTATTTACTATAATTGCAGAAAAACAAGAACGATGTGTTGGTAGAACCCAAATAATCAGAGGAATCAGGGAGTCTCTGGGCCTGTGACCACATCTATTGTTTATTCATGCAGGGAATGGAGGCAAATCAGTACTCAAAGTTTGTGCCCCTATTGTTCCTAAAAGTCTTTGTTTCTTTTGCAGGGGACGGGGGTATGGTTCATCAGAAGGGGATAGTTTCCAAACAGTTCAGGGTTCTGACTCAAGAAAAATATACCACTGTGGAAACCATTATTACTCCACACGATCAACATAAACACGTAACTGTAAGTGTGGCTTAGTTTCTAATTGTGCTCACACAAAACCCAGAATGGTGCTACAGTGAGGTGGACTAATGAGCAGCTCAGTCACACATCTCCTGGGTACAAATACAAATATAGCCTTTTAACAGCTTTTATCACATGTATTATAGAGTTTAACAGAGGTGCCAATATTTCCTCACTAGTGGTCATTGGCCAGGCAGACCGTTTTAGTTTTATACTGCATTTCTGAGATATCAATCTCTAGGATTTTTTGCCAACAGGATAGAAAGTGTATTTAAATATATTTTGAACTTTCTAAAACAATATTTTTCATAAGAACAACTCCACAAACCACTGACAGTTTTCATTGGCACTACTACAATAGCAGTTTCAAGTAGTGGCAGAATATCAGAAAATGGTGGGTAGAAAATGTGGGTAAATACTTGAGCCCTTCAGAATATCCATCCATCCATGGCTTATTAACATTCAGAATAATGACCCCCAAGAAATGATCAAATGAGTAGTCGAATCATCAATTAGTCGATCAAAAGAAAAGTAATTATGAACTGTTTGCTGACTGTAGTTAGTTAGTTCTAGCGACCTAAGCATGAAGACTTGTTGCTTTCATCTGCTTTATATTGTTGTAAATGGAATACTGTTGGCTGGGCAAAACAATTTGAAGATGTCACCTTGGTCTGTGAGATATTAAAATGGGCTTTTAAATGTTAAATGACATTTTCTTGGCAAAAACAATCAATCAACTTCAATAAAATCATCAGGAGATAACATGTTTATGAAAATACTTGTTACCTTCGGCCCTAAATACAAGCACGTACAGTATCAATTGTCAACAGTGCAGAATTATGTTACAGTTTCCGCAATGAGAGAAAAGACAACCATAAAGCATGGAGTTGGGTCGGTGTTACATGACAGCAACAACAAGGTAAGCCAAAAAGAACAAAAGAAAAAAACTTCAAACATGAAATCCACAGGATTGTGTTACCTTTGATTGGCTGCTTTGTTAAAGAGTAGGTGAGGAAAACAATATGATTCTGTTCACCCAGCCACACACAAACGCTGGGGAGTAAAGACAAAACGAAAACTAGAGCTGAAATCCTATACACATTGTTACACGATCATCAACAAGCTCAGTGGCTGTAGTGCAGTTTAGCCTAAACTGGTTTAAAGAAGTATTCTAAGTATTCTGGGCAACACCTAAACAAGTACAGTAGAGGCTCTCTGAGAAGCACATTCCTGCCCATGGCAATTGAAACAGGAAATCTGGCATGATGTTACCTATGCTTGTGATTTATGAATACAATAACATACATTTGCTAAAATGAGTGAATCAGTGAAACCAGAGAAAACACCGAAACAGACATCACAATCTAAAAATAAGCACTTAAGAGATTTCTAACTGCAAACCTGCCTAGTCATTATTCATAACAGACTTTGTTTACAGTTGGCCATGTGCATGACCTGTTAGTTGCATAAACACTGCCACTTGTTCTTGAATGTCCTAACAGTCACACTTGAAGCCTTTCTGTTCAATTAACAAGCATCTCTATTATTTCGCTTGGCCCTGTGGTTGTAGGACGCAGTTCCCTGTGTTGACAGCCAAGCAGCTCTGAGGGGGTATGGCCTCAGCCATGGCAGCTAATGCAGGAATGTGTCCATGTGACAGGCTTCAGACCATTTAGCCTAGGTTTTAACAACACCACCAACCTCGCCATGCACACATGCCTCTGTTTAAAGTGCTGTGAAGACAAGAGGCTTGTTAATCATTCAGTGATAGAATCCAATATCCACAAAACTTTCTCTTTGAAGGGAAACTCTCAGCTTTATGCCAGAAACTGGGCTCGGATTGCTTTGGTATTTCCTCTGTGCCAGACCTCTGATACACACACACACACACACACACAGATATATATATATCAAATACCTTTAACTGTCTAACTTGTTCAGATTCCTGCTCACTTGTCCTAATCTTCCTGCGGTCATTCTCTGACCACAATTACTCCTGAGCTAATAGCCACTACAAACGGCCAGTGTGCAAGTGTGATGGATACTGATGTCACATCGAAAGCGTTCAGATTCACCCCTCATGAAATGAGAACAATACTTGTTTAGTTACAGTCATGCAGCAACTCCACGCTACAAGACAATCTACAAGAACTTAAGTTTATCCAGCTGTAGAGAAAAGATAAATGTCTGGCTGTAGGTTTAGGGGAAACTTTGACCAATTACTGATATTTAATACTGTGCATATGGCTTAAGAGTATTACATTTTATTGCAAGTGCCATAAACCAAGTGAAAACCCAAACCTTGTCATGAATGTGGGTTGATCTGTTGCATTGGGTGTTTGGTAAAATAGCTTGAAACGTTCATACAAGTTTTTCTTAATTGCTGGCACTACCTGCTTGAAACCGAAGCCTCTGGTACCATTAAAAAACAAACACTGCTGAGCAGGTCGAGGCAAGATTTGACAAAAGAGGCAGTCAACAAACAATAATGACAAACGGGGTCAAAGCATGCACCTGTATTCTGAAGAGACAACCGGAGAAGGTAGAGAGCACCAGTGCTTGGAGAAGCAAAAACTATTTCTAGTGGTTTCAAGACAAGATTTATCTGACCAGATACCTGAGACAAAGTCTAGGCTGATCCATGCCCGGGAGTGTGGGGGGTAAAAGAAGGCGAGGGACCTGATCAGCCTCCATCGATAAATATATCTAACCTCTTAATCAGGGATGTTTTGGAAGGTAAAAATGTAAGGGTGGACATCAGTCTCTTAGGATTAGCCAAATACTAGGCTACATGACTGAGTCTCTCTAGCTTACGCAAACACCACAACAAAACCTTTTGAACTGCCACAAGCAGGAACTGTCTATTTATATTCCACCTTTATGTTACCTTGCTTATTATCTCCAATGTGGAAATCCTAACAGAGTGTGTAAAGAAAAGTGCTGAGATGGTTTGTTTCTACTCACCTCAATCCACCTCTGCGCTTCCACGTAGGCTTCGTCGCAGCTGACAGAGGACTGCTCACGCCACTCCATCACAGACAACTTCTCCGAGCTGCACCGTGGGACCAAATCGGCTCCTATAATGACCCGCATTCAACAACGTCCACTGACATAAAAGAGCGTCATTTCAAACAAGCACAGACAATGGACACTTAAATCTTGTCAAGCGAGCAGGTAAAGCACAAGTGAACTTGTGAGCACACTTCTTACTCATTTAACATCCCTCCTATTGTTCTTCACCAGCTCATCAGTGAATGAATGCAAGGTGTATCAGTATCGTATTCCCCTTGCATCACCGCGCTGTGGCTTACCAGTTACTCATCGGACACACCTGTGGTTTTTGGGTATTTTCAAAATCCGCTTGGTCTCCTCCACCTTTACGCAGCATTAGTCTTCAAATCGGACCCGGGCTCACCTTGTATGGAAGAGGCACTGGCATGAAACACAACTTTTTCATCGCGTTTAAGCTGCATGAGTTAGAGGATGTGGAAGGAGGGTTTCCAAAGCGGGGTCCAGGGACCACCCACGAGTCCTTTTTCACTTTCCAGGTGAACACAAGTTTGGCTCGCTGTTGTTTCCTTCTCCAAACGATTATAGTGATCTCAGGCTTTTAATGCTTCTTGACTAAGACTACAGGTCAGCTCATCAGCTGAGCACCAAACAGATAAAGCTCAATAAAAGTCCGAGTTCTTGAGAAAAGTCTTCTCCACTTGAAAGAGGTCGGCTCTCTTCTTACAACAAATCCCTATCCTGCACCGCCACGCAGCGGTGGTTAGCGTGCGTGGTAGGGCCTGAAAAACAGAACTGCCTCCGTCAGAAACTAACTTGCATTTCAGAGGGAAACTTACTTTGCTACATTTGACAATTATACTTTGATTTTACAAACAAAACTTAAAATAATCTTACAACATGTGATGCATTGTAAATTAAAATGCCCACAGTTGTTCAAATGATCTTAACTTTGGACAGTGACAACATGAAAGTGCTGCTTACATGTTAATTACTTGGTTTAACAGATGAAAATCAGTAAGATTTAAGACTTTTCTAGTATTAATTTATTAAACAATTTCTCCAAAAGTTTCTTTAGCGTTGACTAAACAAGTTAGAAATCACAGGCAGTTTGCAAAACACCATCCTTTATGGTCAAATCGAATTTTATAAATATGTCTGTTCTGGTAACAGTGTAGCTAATACGTTTGCACCACATAATGCATCCATGAAAGAAATGTTTAATAAATGTGCCTTTTATTTGACAGAATTTCTAAGTCTTATTACAAAAATGTGAGCACACAGATGTTCAATTTGCATTTTTTCAGGTAGCCTCACTTACAGAAGACATTTACTTGTTGAAAAGCTTCTCATAATACCATTAATGTGTATAACTGCTTTAGTCGTACGTTTTCCCCCTAGAGTTAAGACTTAAATTAAAGCCTTGCAAAACATGTTCCTTCAAGTGGTTTTGACCACATGGTTAGGCATATGATCAACAGCAAATCACCCCATACATTAAGTATCAGTGAACCCAGAGTGAAAAAAGTCGAGCCCTCTCAGTGAAAAGTGTGTTAAATTGTGTCTTAACTGAAACCAAACCCATCTTGTAAACGCACTTTAGTGCAGCATCAGTGTGGTACAGCTGATAGTTGTGGGGAACTTTTAATTGCACAGCAGTCTAATTCCCTTACAACTACTGTAACAAGTGCTATACAACGAAAGTTGAACTTGGAACAATACCTATGACATTTTTATTATTTTCCACATCTCTCTTGCTTTAGTATTTTGACAAAAAAAAACAACAATCTTATTTTCCAGTGAAGTCAGCACTTGAGAACGTTTGGCAGTAATGTCGTCTTTGTTTTCTCAGCTGAGTGTTTCTTTAGTATTAATCTTTGGAGAGGGCAATGATCGTGAAACGAAGCTCCTGAGGGTCACGAGCCATGAAGTTCTTACAGACTTCTACAGTATCCTGCAGTGCAATTGAACACAGGAAGAAAATAATGATTTGCAACTCAGCTTAAACATATTTTTATGTAGACGTTTATTCTGTGAAGTCTTACCTCGAGGAAGGTATCTTCTGAAGTTTCTCCATGGACAATAGGGAAAGGCTTCCGTCCATCTAGGTATTAAAAAAAAAAAAAAAAAAAAGAGTTTATTAAGGGGTTTCAATATTAAAAGAGCAAGACGGTTGTTCTGTATTTTAAACACTCCCTATACAGGGAATAAAACCAACAACAATTCGCCTCTGCTCACTGTTAATGTCCGTCAGTCCTAGATTATCTTTTCTGTCTATGCCATAGATCTCCATTATTGTTTAAAAGCATTTAAAAACATGTTGATGAAACACACCACTGTATTTGGTGAAGCAGTTCCTCATTACAAAACACCAGACCCTAAATTTTTGTCACCCCAAAGGCTCCGAACAGCCATAACATTTTTCCAGCATCTGAAATAAGCAACAGTCAGGGACCCAAGCACAAGATCTCGATATCCTTAACAAACATGCAGGTCTGGTGCTTTGTAATAAAGAAACATGTCACCCAGTGCAGCGGTGTGTTTCACCGATGTGTTTTTAATCTTTTATGAACAACAACAACAGAGGTTTATGACAGACACAGATGAATAAGATAATCCAGGACTGACAGACATTAACAGTGAGTAGAGGCAATTCATTGTTGATTTTATTCTCTGTATGGAAAATACTGTTAAAATAAAAAATGACCAACCTTATCCTTTAATTTCACAGTGGTGTTTGAATTTTATCACCACTAAATGTGGAATTAAAGTAATTACTGTCAATGACATGACAAATAACAGCTAAATATTTTCCATTTAGGGTCAATTATAAATATATTTCAATTGCGGCTAACTTACCCAGTTCATATAAGTGTCCTCCGACATTCACAAAAGCTATAAAATGCAGATTCACTTTCTCATCTAGGCTTGGTGCCTATAATAAACAAGAAATAAACACAAAGTTCTCCTGAGTTCAACACATGCCTTTAGATTAAGTAATAAAAGCAACCTCACACAACATAGGTCAAATAAAATTCAACACGAACCTCTGTCTGTCCCTCCTGTGCACTTGATTCATGTGTAACACGTATACTCTGAAACAAGAAGTAGGGAGAAATGTTTTTCTTTTATTATACTTCATGGCCAGGTCAACTATCTCCATAACACCGGCTCTGCAGCTGTTATATACTACTGTAAAGCTTAAATAATTTTTCCTGTCAAGCAGACCAAACAAATCCAAAACCTTACTGTAGTCCATCACTCATGTGCATCTGTGACCACTTCATAATATGAGCCAGTATTTTCCTACCTCATCTTTTTCCAGGAAGACAGCCCTTTCCTCTGGGGTCATTTTAGAGGTTTGTTCAAGAAACTTCTTAAGGGGAGAATCAGGCTCTGAAGAGACAGAATACACATTGAAACCTATAGCAAACTGCATTCAAACAAACATGTACTTGGATTTACAGCATATATTACACTGATACTGTTACAAGAGATTCTGTGTTATATGGTATTGTGGTTATGATAATATTCATCTGTTCCTGATCTAAAAGTGAAGTCATAACATTGTCTAAGCTAAGTTAAAGTAACAATAAATGCCATCATAACAACAACAATGGTAATTTCTCAATAGGTAATAAAACCCAAATAGTGTTGCATCAATCAGTCATTTTAACAATCGCAGCTCTGCAATCACACAACTGCTATGGGAATCTTACCCATCTCTACAAAAGGTCTACAGAATAACTACTCACCAAATTCCAGATGTGCCTGATTGTTTGCCACTGCATGAATTAATCCTATTGTTCCACAGGCATTTCCGATTGTTTGCTTAATGAAGTAGACATCAGGAGAGACCTCCTGTAGTTTATCCTTGAGTTTCTCTTCCTCTTCTTGCTTGAATGCCTCATACTGAATAGAATAAGAATAAGAAGACATCCTTTATGATTCATGAACATGCACTGAATATTGTATTTTCTACACTAAAGATGTTGCAAGAATCAATCCAAGTACCTTGTCTGTCACTGGGAAGAGGAGTAGCACTGCACACACTGGTCTTGGCACCATGTTGAGAAGCTCTGGGTCGAATCCATATACATCTCCAAATTTCCAGGTTAGCCTCATACCCAAACAATTGACAAACTGCACAAAAGCTGAGAGTAAATTTGCATACATACAAAGATATAAAGCTAAACTAACAATATCTGTTTAACTGAAGTGAAGCTGCATATTAACACTGGCTTCAGATTACCATAAGAACGAATTACTACCTAAACCCACAAAATCTAGAATGCATCCCTGCAACATTAAAATAATATTACAACCAAATAATAAATGCAGTGTTATTATTTTGCTCCTACATCAGTGTAAACGCCTGGTAAAAAAAAAAAATTGAAACTTGTCAGATAAATTTAAACCTAACCTATTAACTTTTTGTTTAATAATTATTGGAAACTATGCTGCCCATTGCACACTCAATTGCCAGTTTATTGGGTAGACCTACTGCTAAAACTAAGGCAGAATAATACAACAGTCCAATATATCCTACCTTCATTATGGTGACATATTCAGTTTTTGTTGAAACTGCATGATTATTTAAGAGGATGCAGTTTGTTGTGCTTTGAACTGCACTGCAATATACATGGAAATATTCCTGTTACTTAGCCTAGTCTCATTGATATGAGGTGGACAAAATAGAAACACCTGTCAATATAATACAACAGTGCCACAAACTACATCCTCCAAAATGATCACACAGTTCAATGAACACCTCTCTAAAACTGCTTCAGTGACACTATTTTTAATGAAGGCAGAATTTATTGCAGAACTGTTGTTTTAGACTGTATTAGATTTAATTTGGCATGCCTAATAAACAATGAACTGTTGAACTGTATATGGACAAATGTCAGTTTTCATGCTGAGCTGACCTGGTGTGTATTGACTAAATGATTACACCTGTGATGAAATTAAATTGATAAATTGCAAGCATAGTTCCTGGTAACCTCTACAATAAAGCATTACCAAGTTATCCAGTGTCTGATGCCCATGATGTTGACATTCAACAGATAACCAAATAACCAAATGCCCCTGCAGTTACAGACTGACAGTCTGAAACCATCCAACCACTTGTTATTATTACAGATGAACAGCAATAGTCTGGTTAATAACTAACTTTTCAGGTCATGGACTTCTTTGTCTGGTAGATATAATAGAGCATGGAAGGGAGAGCTGCATAAAATGTAACTAGCTATGTCCTTTGCTTTATGCATTTAGCTCGCTGAACAAGTCGGGGCAACTTTATAACATGTTATTAGATATACAATTGCAACATTCTACTGCCAATAAATTCTGTTAAAAGTTATGTCAGAATCCTCACGACCAATTTCCATGTTATCATGTTTATCAGACAGTTGTTAATTATTTCGTAACTTTAATTCTTGAAAGGTAACATTACATTTTATCTAGGTTAGCATCGCTGATGAGTAGGCCTTGTGCGTCTGCATTGTCACTTTGCAGCTGATTGTTCAGGCCTTTCTGGTGTTACATTCACTGAGAAGAAAATACTCACTTTTGTCATGACCTGAAATGAAAAGACATAAATAGAAAGGTTACTCAAACTGCTGTTAGATTTAGCAAAACAGTAACACCGACTTCAGCTTTTGTTTTCTCTGTTAGCATGAGTTAGCTAGCCCTCACTTGTTTGTAAATGAATGACTTCGAAAAAAATCATTTCTTGAAAGAGAAATGTTAGTGATACATACCTCTGGATTGGACTCCAGAGGCAACCAGCGTGGACAATCCATTTCAAAATAACGTCAAGCGTTACGGTATTTTAACCCGAGAGCTGAAACTGATTTACAAAAATCTGCTTGATAGCTGGAAATCACTTCCGCGTCTGGAAAGTGAACCTTGATATTTAGATACTAGGCAGGGGTGTTTGCTTTTTCATAAACCATAAAGACACAATACTCAGCATAGTATGTCAAAACCAGACACATGATTTAAATGATCTAATACTATATTGTATCCTGAATGGTTTAAGTTATGTTTTTCTATCTGAAATATGAAGGATATTTGAATGTAATGTTAGTATCCACACCTAATCAGTCCAACTGTGGACCAATCCAGGGTCATGGGCGAATTTCAGATAGACCGATTTACAGCGGTTATGGGCATATCTGTTCATTTATGACTAAATTTGGTGTCTCAGTGAAATCCTTTTGCATTTATTTACAGACTGTTGCTTAGGCTACAGATCGCCTGGCAAATGTGGACGGTCCGTTCTCATTACCAAAAAAAGAAGACTCTCCGATGCCATAGGTGACGCAAGAGTTGTACATCCTTAAAGCTATTTTCATTTACTGCTACTAGGTGCTTTTACATCATAATAATAAGTCGCACACGGGGTTGTAGATATTGGCAGATCTGTCGAGAAAGTCACTATTGGCACCACTGACACGACGGTCAATCCTGTAGTAGCCTGACTGACTCGAGATGCCAGCTGCAGAGGGATCACATGGTGAGTTTCAACTCGCATCATATTGGGTTACAGTGTTTTCAGTAGACGGTAGTTGGACTATGAAGACGAATAGGCCATGCCTTTCACGGGAGTACTGTAACTTAACATTACACAATTCAGGCAACCAACAGGCAGCTAAGTCGTTAGCATTAGCTTTAGCAATCGTTAGCATTAGCTAAATTTGAACCAGACTTTATCTCCAGTCCCAGCCAACCGTTTTCTGACCCCAAAGTTACCAGTTCCTACCAGTTTATCTCTCCTATGCTGCATAACCATGGTCCCCACCCCTACCCCCCATTATTTTTATCCATTAGTTTTTTCCTGTCTTAATGTAATTGCATGAATTATTATGTGTTTAATGTATAAACTAGCTTTCTGATAACGTTAGACTGATACAGTAAATAATTTATATCACAAATTCTAATGCAGGTTGCTTGCCCACTTTTGAAAACGCAGCAATGAGGATCCATAATTGGCATAGTTAGACTCATGATATCCTGACCAGAGATCACTTTGAGATCAGTGGTTCTGGGTCCAGAAACGTATGGGAAACCCAGTGATAAATGAATTGCTTCACGTCTGTATTTCAGGCATTGGCGATGTTGTGGGCAACATATGTAGACTTTCTCCCGAACTGTTGGCTGAAACAGTGAGTATATTTTATCTCTAGGTATTTATGTCCACATTCAGTCCAAAAACATGGCAGCTAAACATACAGTATAATCCTTGATTAATTTACTGTACAAGTTCTCAGAAGAGAATCACAACACAGGTCACACATTTTGCTGTTCGTATTAGCCTCTAGAATTTTGTTACCACAGGCAGAGACTGGATTTCTGAAATGACAGTAAAATAATGCATCTTCACGTCTTGTTTTGAAATTTGCTATGAAGCAGATGATGTTGGTCCAGCACTTAACATCCATGCACTCCAGTAGTTCCACAGGATGCAGTGTTGTTGCTGTAGAAGTTATACTGTAGTTCTAATCATATAATCTTCACAGTGTCAGCACATTCTGATGTATCTTCAAGGCCAGACTAGAGGAGTAGATTCAGCTGAAATTTCTGATGTGAGTCAGTATTTCCTTAGAATTTTTCTATACTTATAGTAACCCATCTTCCTGAGTTCCTCTTTCATTACTTGTTTTGTTGTTGTTCTTCTGGGCAGAGATTTGAGAGAGCTGGAGTCAGACTTGACCACGAAGATCTACAGAAAATTATCAGATTTCTTTTGTTAACATTCAGGTACAATATCAGTCATCTAAAGATTTTTCCCTCTGAATATAGTTTGTTATTTTTAATAACGAGTGGATGTGTTGTCTCCCATGCTGCTCACATTTATTTTCTGTTTAGCTCATCAAAAGGCTAAATCATATAAAAAGAAGTACTTTGTTGCACTGTAAGGTGTAATAACATTTGTATCACCAGGTCATCGGGAAAGAGCAACCTCTCTGGGGATGACCTTGTATCGAGGCTGGATGACAGCGGTAACAAGTGGCCCAAAACGTCCCTTCAGGTGGTGCACAGGTTGTGGAGTGAACATGGTGCATTAGTCCATGCTCAGCAAGAGGTTCAGGCCATGCTCAGCATCAGCCAGGTATGTTTGAATTTAATGCAGTCTCTCCGACTTTCAAACATTTACTAATGACCCGAGCACAGAAATTTTCAAGGCTGATGGAATCTGTCTTGCTGTATCTATCTAGTTAGTGGACATGCAGTGGAAACTTGGCATGGCGGTGAGCTCCGACACCTGCCGATCTCTCAACTCTCCATATGTGACTCTCCTACTGAAGGTTGTTGGGCCCTCTGGAAATATTTCTCAGAGGTCTTTTGAGATGACCATCCCACAGTTCCAGGTCTCTATTTATTGATGTGACTATTGTAGTGTCTGTGTGTTTTTTTTGTTACTGGCCTGATTTTGAGATTCTTTCTTGCAGAACTTTCACAAGCAGTTCAAGGAGATGGCAGCTGCTATGGAGACTGTATGATGGTTGCAAGCACACCTAACTGCATTTACACCCAGGATTATGTGTGAAAGAAAGGCTTGACACAGGTGTTTTATCAGCTGGCTGTCTCAAAATGTGGATACAAATTGTGCAATGATCAGTTGTTGACTTTACGCTTCCATTTTCCCACAGAAGCTCCTAAATGAATTTCTTTTCAAACCTCCAGAATTGAAAATAGATAAAAATGCCTGTCTTCACATTGAATGCCAAAAGTAGTGTTTTTCCACCTGCTAACTTATTCAGGTATCATGAATTTATCTTTAGGAATATGTAGTCTACACCCACACACTAATTATACATAACCATGACAAATGTTCTATTTTTGCTACATTAAATTACAAAATGTTTAGATTAATCACAGTTTGCATCCACATTTCAGTTTGCTTTGTACAGATAATGTATATTCAAAATGGAAAACTGTTGCTAATATTGCTGTATTGCTTTTTAGTAAGGGTACGGTTGTGATTAGCCCACTATACATCCTGTATATAGTTTACAACAGTAGCTAAATCTTCATATCTACTTTGCAGTGTCGTTGTTGGTTTGCAAATCTTGCAAAGTAAATTTATACATATTCACTTTTTAGCCCTTGTGCTGTCTTTTAATGTTGAATTTTTGAAGATGGATCTTTTTCTATTCGTGTCTTCACTGATACCACTGAAATGCAGTGTGGTTCTGTAAACCTCCGCTGCATGGTTAAATTTAACAGCTCAGATCAAATAAATGTAAAAGCAGTTGTGCAATAAATCAACTGAATCCTGTAAATCAGTGTCACTGTTGACCATCTAATTATTACAGGAACCCACAGAGAAGTAATTGTGACCTAATGCTGGGTAGATTTTTGTCAAAGGGTCTGCAGCAACAGGGATGTTTTAATTATGTACCTTTGGGGGTATGTCTGCATATTTTAATCATAAATTTGATTATTTTTACATTTAAACTTCAGTCAGTGCATTGACGGTCAGTTCATTATGTGTATTGGGTGGTCTGTGCTGCTATTTGAAAGTTCTGAACAGTTAACATACTGTACGTACACACCTAGTCCTTACAAATGGTGGGGAGTGTGGCAGGCTCCGGCCTCAGTGATGACATTATAAATGGCACAGTTACTAATTTGGGATAGGCGGAGTTCTTGGAATTATGACATTGGTAGATGGGAACTCCTCTAGTGCATGAAGCGTATCAGATGTCACAGCTGTCTAAAACATGATTCAGCGCAATTTACTTCAGGGCTGCCTTTGTGAAGTGTTGCATGTGATTTCTTAAACTGCCCGCATAAGGTATTTTGCAAAGGCTTGTCTTCCCAAGGTCGGCCGGTATCACCTGGTGAAGCCAGGTGGTGGGCGGGATAATAACCCCCAGAGTCCCGGGCCCGGATGACTTGCTCCTGCTGCAAACACTTTCCACTTTCCACACGACCATGAACGAGGCTTTCCAGTTTTTATTATACACCGTGGAGAAAGGCGGAGCGTCGTCCTGTCACGTTCCACACAGAGGCTCCGTCCTGCCTTGCCTACTCCTGAAGCACATGGGATGGATGGATGGGCGGGTCGTCAGCGCGCACAGCTCTCCGCCTCCAAGGCGTTGTGGAAGAAAGGCTTACAGTCGGGAGAATGCATTAAGATGCGATAAGCAATAAATATGTACATTTTGTAGACGCAGAGACAGCAAAATGCGCTAGCAACGCTTGTATGTAATGAGGTTTTAGTAGTGGGACCGCTCCGCTTTGCGCACTGGAGCGACACACAGCGCGTCAAAGAAATAAGATTTCAGTGGGCGACGCGTGTTTACACAGGAGCTATCCAAAGCCACGTTTTAGCCAGCAAGCTTGGTTGGGGCGGTACAGTTCAGGACTGTTTGTTTGAGTCATTGCCCATGCAAACAGTGGAGGAACAGAGCAGGGAAGCCAACTGTAATACCTTAAAAGTACATTTACTTGAAATCCTTGAAAGAGATTTGGATAACATGAAGTGTTGCAGCGGATCGACAGGGCGAGCGCATGTCGTGCACGTAGCTAATCGCTTCGTTGTAACACTTTCACTGTGAATGTGGAAACTGTTGCAAACTAAACACAGCTGCCGTTGTTCTCGGTTGCAGGGAATGGTAGCCTACATCGGTATTATTCCTGAAAGTCGTTTTAGTCCCACAAAGCTGTCAACGAGGTTCGACCGAAACTCTGCTGGGTCGACATGGAGAGTCGGGATGAGAAGGAGAGCAGTCCCCCGAAGTCAGACAGGAGGTTCGCCCTAACTTACGTCGGCTGGTCCTCGCTGGACAGGCGGAGCACCCTGCCCATGCTGCCGTGGCTGGTGGCAGAGATCCGCAGGAAGTGTGAGAAAGGCAACTGCGGCCCCGCAGCGCAGCCCAGAGAAGTCCAGCTGGTCCTTAATCCTCCTTTCGTCCGATGCGTCCCTTCCAACAGCAGCAACTCTTCAGTTTTCATATTCGAGCACAAAGCACAGCTCATCTCTCGCTTCATTCACAACAGCAATGACCTCACCTACTTTGCCTATCTCATGCGGGGCCATCCCGACAACCCCGAGTCCGAGATGTCCTGTCACGTCTTTAAGGCCTGCGACCCCAACCAGGTAGGCCTGTCCAGCTGTCCACAATGCCCTGACGACACAACAACCATTATGCCTGGAGCAATAAGGGAGCACACTTCATAGCAAAGTAAAGGAATTAGACAGAAGAGGTGGGCATTAGTAGTGTAACCCACTATGAAAATTGATATTATTTATGGGATGTTAACTTTAAAACCTGAAATGAGACTTTAATGGCGTGCACATGTTGTTTAAAAGTCCAGTTTGAGCAATAAGAGTCCCTCAGTATTATGTTGATGAGGTGATAAAGTAAATGTCAAATAAACCTACCATGATGGCAGGACATGCACTTTTTATGATGAACTGTATGTTTTGTTTTAAGTGTACATGCAAAACAAAGGACTGTCCTGCAGAGCCTGAGCTGAAACCTTTCAGGTAATAAATGTGTCATTTAATCTCAGACACACACAGGTGATTAATCAGTGGCCCAAACATGTTTGCTTGGTATTAAGCACTTAAGCCACCGGTCAGTGGGGACGATAGACCGAGAACCCAGGGTTTTTGGCTCAGTTAACCCATCTCTGTGCTTTCCACTTTAGGAAATCAGATTCTAGTGCCTTTGGTGTGACAACAGCTGGCTCAATATCGAGTCAGCACATTTACATGCCGATCAAGCAGACACTCTTGAGTAATAAACTGAAATGTGGTAAACATTCAGAAATCAGGAACGTAGGAATTGGTGTTTGAATATTAGTGTGAACTCCGGCTTTTTGCTCTGCTGAGATGTCTAGGTCGCACTGTTAGGCTCTGTGGCCCACGGGCACCGATCTGTGTCTCTGTGTGCTATAGTGAGAGTCCGCTATAGTGAATTAGAATGTGTTTTTTATGTTTACATATCAATCATGTGGTCTGGGGTTGTGCCAGCAACATTCTTTACCTGTTCTAACACAAATGGAAACCTTGTTCATGTTATTGACCCCCTAAAGGACCATGAAAGCCATCCAGTTATGCTCACATTTTGCATTGATCTCAGTATGTATTGTGTGTCTGAGCTGAGACTAGAAGAGCCAACAAGTTCGACACAAACACTTTAGAGTTGTTTGGCCTTTACATGTTGGCAGCACTCATAAAGGCATCTTGAACATGCCCCGTTCAGCGTTGTTACGCAACAGAAACCGCCTTGGCAGCCAGCATACTAGCCACATGTGCAAGGTGGGCCATGTAGAATGCACGTGGTATTCAGCCATGTACAGGGCAGCTTCATTTATATAGCCTATTTTCATACACAGAGCCAATTCAAAATGCTTCACATAGGCAAGAAGAAATATTATCAACCAGAATAATGTCAGTTAAAACAAAGATAAAACACTGTTGTAACGAAATACACACAATGAAAACAAATGCACTGTAAAATGTCAGACACACAACTGTAGAGCAGTGCAGTAATAAGTTGTAGGCTGCTTTGAATACAACACCAAAAACAAAAACACAGCAGAGGAACGAAAGGCCAAGTAAAACGGCAGAGTTTTCAGCTTACACCCTGCTGCTGTCATTGTACACGTAGTGATTATTTAATACAGGCGTCTTTAACAGGGTGCTGCCTATTTTGCATTTGTCCCGACTGACTTTGAAGACGTGACAAAATATTGCTTCATTACTGGATGACATGCATGCTTGGCAGACAGTTGGACACATGAGGGTACATTGTGTAAAAACCGCTGGTGTCTGTCAGTATGATGTGAAAGGTTGAAGTGAAATGCTGCATGATGTCTTGAAAAGCAGAGAATCTAAGCTGGCTCAAGTATAGTTTGTCACATTTATGAATACATGGGGAAAAAAAAGTTTAATTAAGAAATACTAACAAAGCATAGTCTGTAGATAAAAATGGAACATGCCATTGTGTGTGTTCCTTTGTTTGAAAGGTTGGATACTTAAAATCACGTTGGACTCCCTGGACTTGAAATACAACTTCAGTTCTCATGTACGTTTTGAGATGGCTGTAAATGGTTACACATAAAGTTGTAGCTGCTTTGTCATTAAAGGCTCGTTCTTACACCTGTCCACTGCAACAGACAAAAAGACATCGTCATTTAGAATTGTAACCTTTTATGTGACTGTGGGATGATAATAGATGCTCATCGAGACTGTCAGGGCAGTAAGCACAAATTTAACACTGACCCAGCTCAACTCGGCTGTGCCATTATAAAGCCAGTAATACACAGCCTGAGCCTGCACAGCGTAAACAACAAGCCCGTGTGTTTCCCACCTATGGGAGAAACTTGGCGCTGGACCACGGTAGAATATCTCCACGGGTGACACCTCTGCTGACTTGTAACCCCACTCATGAGCCAAGCAAGGGCAAGAGGGATGGACTTGACCATCTGAATTTGAGAAATGTTTATGTGCTATAAAGCCAATTTTGGATAAAGAAAGGTCATCAGTCTACATTCCAGCTTCACACTAGGTCTCATTATCCATCTGTACTATCATAACACAAACCATTTCCATTCTCTACCATTGCAAGGTGCTGATGAGCTTGAACTTTGTGTTAACATTAGTTAGTCAGGGTTGGCGATGTGGCCCAGTCACTGTCTGTTAACATGATCGCATTGCTTGCTAAACAAGAAACTAAATACCACAGATTCTTATGTGGTTGTCATTGTAGTTTCTGACCAAGTACTGGCTCATTGAACAGTGAATGGGCACTGGACTGTGTTTATTCCTATGCTGTTCTATGGCACATTCGAGCAAGGACACAGTACAGTTTTGAAGTAGCTTCAAATGCTCCATAGTATTTTCTTCAATTGCTTTTTAGCTGTACCGTGAGGATAAACTTGGAACTAATACAGAACTGAGTGTCCTTATTCATCATAGGTGATATTTACCTGCCCTCCTCAGACACAGTACAAAAAAGGCATTGTAAAGACAAAAACAAGTTAAAGAAGGAAAGGAAAATCCACTTTTCATCAGCGGCGTCCCGACACATAATTGTCCTGACTGTGATTTGAGCTCCTGTCCCATGTTGAGGTGACATAAGATCCTTTGTATTGCTTTGTTTTGAGTTGAAATCTGACCTTTGTTAACTGAAGCACCCACTATGTCTGCAGGCACATGGAAAAGCACCAATGTTCAATTTGACATATTGTCTGAACAATTTAACATTTCAAGTTTGGACAAATTAAAATTTTGCTGTAATTAGATTTAGTCTTTTATTTACTTTGCAAGAACTTGCACTGATAGCCTTTAGCTTAAAACATATACTCTTGTGCTGCCTCTGAGACTTACTGTAACTTCCTCTGTCACTGTTTGTTTTCATCCTTATCTCATACTGACACAGTGATAACCTTTGTCTTTAAAGCCAGTCTAATTGGGTCTAATCGCAGGTGCTGTGCCCTATAGAGAACTACGTGCCGTTTACTGTTTGTTCAGAGAAACTGGGGCCTGGGTGTAGAGGGGTTTGACATTACTTGAGCCGTGCACCGAGTACGCTCTAGACTCCAGCAGCTCAGAGAGGACAGCCTTTGTGTTTGCTTCCTCCTAAGCTCTAAAGCAGCACTCAGCTGCCGGTGTTTATGTAGACAGGCTTTGGCTCGCAACCAGCGTCACTGATATTATTTCATAAAGCTAGGCATTGATGGGTGAAGGTTAAATATAAAACCCAGCTTGAAGAACTGTTGGAGAGAGAGGATATGTTTGAATGGTCTCCCAGTGAACACCGCATGGCTTTCCTCTGTTCCTGTACAGCGTTCTGCCTGTCTGTGCCTGTCTCCACCTTGTACTGGCTCTGTATTAGGTAGACTACAAATTATTAATCAGATCAAATGGTGCTGTGGTGTCATCATACTCGCTTGTAATCCAGTAGTTTCTTTAAATGTTAAGATGGTGCTGTCGTTTTTTCCTTTGTGGCAAAAAGGTGCAGGACACAGGCCTAACAGAACAGATGGTACAGCTGTGATTCTCAGCCACCAGGGCCCGTGAAGTTACCTGGACCTTGTAGCGTCACCCTCGGCTTTTGCCTGTGCAAAAGCACCCATGACCCCACAAATGGGGATATGTGCATACACATTGAGAGCTAATGTACCAGACAAATTCCTCATATGTCCGACACACCTGGCCAATAAAGCATATTCTGAAATATCGCCAGTGTGGTTTCACATGCTGCTTTTTCACACTTTGTAAATCATGGTGACAGGTTCCAGGTTATTTTGTGCCTAAATTTACTGTATGTGTGGACCTTTCTTTGGACAGTTGGAGGTTTACTGTTATCTCAGAAGCTTCCTTGAGCCAGCTAAGGAAATTACTGACACAGGTCAGAATTTTGCTTGAGGGAAGAGAGGGCTGAGTGTTTATGACCCACCGCCCGCCCTCCTCTTCTTAGTACAACCCTCTGTCACCACCAGCCATGCTCAGCTCAACCCATGTGAAAGAAGGCGCTTTAAAATAGCTCATGTAGCCACAGCAGCAAAACAGCGGACACATGTTTGATCTCTGTGTCTCATACATATACTGACTTCTATGAAAAGCAGGGATTGCATTGTTTTGTTCACATTTATTCCTTTCCTGTTTGTCTGCCCTTGCTCTTCTACCCTGTTGTTCTGGTGACACCACAGAAATAAGGCTGATATTTTGTGTTACGCAACTTCCCTGCCTAGTCTATGTTATAAATGTATTTGCTCAACGTCAGTATGCACCTCATATCAGGTAAAATAGGGGATGTTTGCAGTGTACGCAGCCACTGTTTGTTTTAGCACTTGTTGTCTTTAACACATTATTTGGCTGACCTTGGCTGTGGCCCTGGCTCTAGACACTCACGCTGTCTGTTAAAATATTTAGCGCAGCAATTATATATTTTTATGTTCTACTTATATATTTTATGTCCTCTTTTTTTAAAATGGATGCAAGTTTTCCAAACATCTGCTTCGATGGCACCGGCTAATTGTGCAGTAAGGTGCGAGTCCCTGACACAGAGGAACAAAGACGGGCTCAGTGACCTTCAAGTCTCTGATTTCCTTCAGCTCTCTGCTTTGTTTTCTGTCCTACAGAGCGTGGGTGTTCCCTCGCTCCTGTCAATATCGTTTGGTCTGGCCTTTGTCGACTATCTTGTTAGTTTTTAAGGCTGCTTTTTAGCCTTGAGTTATTTAAAGTCACAAGATGAAGTGAGTTCATGTTGTTTGTTAGTCAAATCAAGTTCTCGAGTCAACTGCAACTGTAAACTTAATGTAGATCAACTTATCCTGTGCTGACTTTTGGTATATTGAATCTACATACACCAATCAGGCATAACATTATGACCACTGGCTGGTGAAGTGAAGAACACTGTCTGTTACAGTGGCACCTGTCAGTGTGTGGGGTGTATTAGGCATCAAGTGGAGATTCAGTCCTCAAAGTTGATGTGTTGGAAGCAGGAAAAATGGGTAGTGTAAGGATCTGAGTGACTTTGACAAGGGCCAAACTGTGATGGTGAGATGACTGGATCAGAGCATCTCCCACCCTGCAGGTCTTGGTGGGTGTTCTTGGTCTGCAGTGGTTAGTACCTACCAACAGTGTCTAAGGAAGGTTAAATGGTGAACTGGTGACAGGGTCATGGATGCCCATGACTCACTGATGATGAGGTTTATCTGCTGTAGATTAAACCTTTAACTTCTATTACTAATTTTCAAAAGATTCAAATTTATTTGACTGTTAAAATGGTTAAAAATGAGAAATACTGTACATTGCTTTCTATGAAGAGAAAGAGTCAGGGGCTGTAGTGGTGATATCACACCTACAGTGGGGAGGCTGTTGAATGTGTCTAAAAAATTCTCTCTAACTTGTCCTCATGATCAGTTTTCACTCCTTTTACATAAGTTTTTCATTGAATTGTAGACACATCTGTGTCTAGACAGAATTCTGACTTTGAAATTCTGAGATGAAAGTCAGAATCCTAGAATGTCGACATTCTAGGAAGTCAACATTCTAGAATTCTGATTTTCATCTCAGAATTTCAAAGTCAGAACTCTGACTTTAATCTCAGAGGTCTGGATACCTGTAAAGATCCAAGTTCAGTGAGTGAGAGAGTGGCTTTGAGTCATGCTGGAGAGGAGCTGCATGCTGCCCAAAAATGGGATTTGAGCTGCACAGTGACACAAGTGCCAACCAACTGCCACATTGACTCCTATGTAAACAGTAGGCAGGTGGTCATAATGTTATGGCTGATCAGTGTACATGTCCAACACACTGAAATTGATCATGTCATCTATGGTGAGCTGCAGAGGTTATTTTATTTGGGCTTGTTGCTGAGACTTTTGGGGTTATCATTGCCATTCTGAGTTTCAGTTTATATGAAAATGATAAATATTCACAAACTATGCTGCCTTAGGTGGTAATGTTATTTGTTAGGGATGTTACTCTATTTCAGTTGTGTTGAATTATGTTTTCTCATGTTCAGTTGTAGGAGAAGCTGTAGAGAAAAGCTCCTCTGGCGTTTGGTTCTACTTCCCTTCCCATTTTCTTATGTTGTATTTTTCCTTGTTAACATCTTCCTAGTCTTCACATCCCTTTGTTTCACTTTGCTTTGTTTCAGGTCCCTGAGGTGATTAGCAGTATTCGCCAAGTGTCCAAATCTGTCCTGACGGAGGATGCCAAACCCAAACAGGAAGCTGACGAGGCCTTCTACAACTCCCAGAAGTATGAAGTGCTTTACTGTGGCAAGGTAGAAATGAGCACATATGTCTGAAATATATGGTGTGTTTTAATGAAGTCCATAAATGAATGTTGTCGGATTAAAAACAAACCTCTCCAGGTGACAGTTGGGCACAAGAAGGCTCCATCCACCCTTATCGATGACTGCATAGATAAGTTTCATCAGCACGAGGTTGAGCGCAAGCGCCTACGACTCCTCAACGGTCAGCGAGGTTCTGCAGAGAGCACTCCTGTAAATTTCCTCATGGGGGGAGAAGGAGACCCACTTTCCTCTGTGCTGAATGAGAGTGTGGAAGACCCTGAAGTTCCTGGATTGGAGGACATGTCCAGAGGTGGAGGTAAAGGCCTCAACCCATAGAGGGATAACAAAATGCCAGAACTGAATCAGCAAGTAGCTCTAATCAGATTTTAACAACACACAGTTGCCCACTTTCGAAGTCTCACCCCCTTAGTTACTTTTGCTATACCCTTTGATTCTTGCAGAGCACATGTGCAGTTTACAGTTATAATGGTGACACTGGGAATGTTCTCACAGGTAGAACAGGCTATTTTTAATTCAGCTGGCTGAAATGACAACTGGCGCTGGCACATTTCAGCTATAGCTAGCTAGCTAACCGAGCCAACATTAAGTTCCATGAGTTGGTTGAAAACGCTGTCTCTGGCTAACCTTTTAATGCTTTCTCATTTTAAAATAAAACCTCGCCACTAATGGTAATCTAAATCAACACTCTAGTGTGTCTTTGGTCCAGGTAAAAGCATCTCCAGCAATGTCAGCCAAAGCAGCCTGCGTGGAGCATTCCCCGAGCGCATCCTGGAGCATTCTGGATTTGAGGAGCCTCAGGAGTTTCGTACACGCTGCAGCAGCCTGGCAGGGAGTCTGCAGAGGAACCCAGGAGAAGGTGTCATGATGGGTCCCACACGCCGCAGACATGCTAGTGCACCCAACAACGTTCAGCCTTCTGATACAGACAAGAACCGCACCATGCTCTTCCAGGTACAGGAAGCTTTATACAGAAACGTTGCATTTCATTTCCACAAATAGAAAGACTGTTGTGCTTTTGCTGTTGTCTGGGTTTCAGAATGAGTATAGTGGTTCAGGGTTCCTTATCTTGGAATCAGCTGACAGTAGACCCTCTTGGTTGAATGCAGCACTGAGGAGCCTTATCGTGACAGCAGTGTTCTCTCATTAAAACCCGTGGCTTAGTATGCGCTCAAGTGCCTGGCCAGGGCTAAGGGATCTGTTATATATGAATTACAGTAAACTGAAGTCAGAGTACTATATGTGATCGCAGTATACATAGACAAAGACTGTGTATGGTTATACTGAGTCATAATAATGTTTCATGCTCTTTGGATTTACTCCAAAAAAGATGAGATGGATGGATGTTTATCTGGGACACAGAAAGCCAAATGCTCGCTTCGCTCTGCTTGTCACCGAAACCCTCTCTGCATGTAGTTGAGCCTCTGAGCTTCTTGCTGCTGCAGATCATTTTTATGTGCACGAGGCTTGCACTTTGTAATGCACAAACTAGTCCTGCTTTGTGTTACCGGTTTATTTAAATGCACCATAACTTCTGAGTAAAATTTTTGACTGCAGCGCTACTTTTGTGGAAACAAAGCCACCGCTTTATGAAAAGCATCCAGATTGAAGTGTGACCCCCCTGTCTGTCCTCATACACCATGCTCATTTCCTCGTGAGGCTAAATTTAAAAACTGGATCACGATGCTCAGTAGATAAAATATAGCAGTCAATTATAGGAAAATTGTTAGTGCAGACTTGTTGACCTTGATTTTGAGTGTGCACAAGTGTGTCTGACATTGAACGGGCCGCAGAATAATCATAGTCCTTGTCATGAGATACTTGACACTGAGATATACTTTGGCATAAGTTGTATACATTACATGATTTACAAAGAGTAGATACTTTTTATGTATCTGCATGTGTCCCTTCATAAATTGAGCTGACCAACATAGAATTCTTTTTGTTTCACAGGTCGGGCGTTTTGAAATAAACCTTATCAGTCCAGACAGTAAAACAGTGGTGCTGGAGAAAAATTTCAAAGATATCTCATCTTGCTGCCAGGTTGGTTTGTTTTTCCTTGATGCGTTTACACTAAGAGCTTCTCACTTGTGTTTTTTTTTTGCTGCAGTCCTAATTAGAGGACCAGACTAATTATGTGCATTTCTTTTGCTGGAGATCTAATGCATTAGTTCCTGTCATTATAGTACAACAAACTTTTCATGTTAAATCCTTAATTTGATAGCAAATTATATCTTTATAAGTGATGTAGAAATAAGTTTTTTTTTGTTTGTTTTTACTGCCTAATACAATCCATTTTTGTCAAGTGGACATGCTGTATTAAGAAAGTGCAGCACCAGGTTTTACTAATTGAACAGGAAATGGCGAATGTCAAAGAGCTGTTACGATGTCGGTGATGTGCTGTTATTAGTTGCTGTTTTATCATTTGTGTTGCTGGAGTTAATGCAAATATATTGAGATTTATTCTAGTTTTCTGTTTGTCTTAACTTTGAAAAGGGCATAAAGCAGACCGACCATTTTGGATTCATTTGTCGTGACCAGTCACAGTCTGGTCCTACTCAGTATGTGTGCTATGTGTTCCAGTGTGCCAGTGAGTCCCTGGTGAGTTGCACAGAAGATGTCAATGAAATTCTTTGCAGGTTTTGCTCTGTACCCAGTATATTTTATTATAATGTCTACAGCCCTCTCTGTGTTGTCTTTGTGTGTGTTAGGTGGATGAGGTGATGCTGACCCTAAAGCAGGCCTTCACTACAGCAGCAGCCTTACAAAGCAACAAGACCCAGGTCCAGCTATGTGAAGCCTGCCCCATGCATGACCTGCACAAACTCTGTGAGCGGATTGAAGGTAAGTCACACATCCAGCACTTGACTCTTGAATATTGTGATGCATGTTCTGTCTGTTGTGTTAAAGCAAGATAAAAGAACCTTCTTTTTTCCTTGTGTTTCTAGGTCTCTACCCACCCAGAGCAAAGCTAGCCATCCAAAAATATCTCTCCCAGCTGACTGACAATGAGCAGGCTGAGATTTTTGAGCGGGTTCAGGTAAGATAGACTGCTCAAAAAAATTTAAGGGAACACTTAAATCACACATTGGATCTTAATGAATTAATTATTCAAGTTGAAAACCTTTATTAATGTATGTTGCATAATTTGTTCAGGACAAAATGGCATAACAGTCAGTGGAAACCAAAATCATCAACCCATGGAGGGCTGTATTCAATGTTACACAGAAAATCAAAGTGAAACATTGAAATCGCAGGCTCTTCCAAGGTGCGTCACAACAATTCATGTGACTCCAAAGTGTGTATGGCCCTGTTGAGTCAGCGGATAGTGTCCTGGGGGACCTCCTCCCAGACCTGGATAACAGCATCACTGAGCTCCTGGACAGTCTGTGGCGGTACTTGGTGACGATACATAATGTTCCATATGTGTGCAGTTGGATTTAGGTCAGGGGAATGTGAGGGCCAGGAACTGGCTACCCACTCTGACCACATGAGGCCAGGCATTGTCCTGCACCAGGAGGAACCCGGGGCCCACCGCACCAGTGTAAGGTCTGACAGGCGCTGTGAGGATTTCATCTCGGCACCTCACAGCAGTCAGGGTACTGCTGGCTATGACATGAAGGTCCATCACTGACCCACCACCAAACCGGTCATGCTATAGGCAGCATAACGTTCACCACGGCGTCTCCAGACTCTTTCATGCCTGTCACATGTGCTCAGTGTGAACCTGCTCTCATCTGTGGACAGAACGGGGCGCCAGCAGTGTTCTCTGGCGAATGCCAGTGGAGCTGCATGGTGCTGGGCTGTGAGCACAGCTCGTACTACAGGACGTCAGGCCCTCATGCCTGACAGACTCTCCTGGAGTCTGTTTTTGACAGTTTGGTCAGAAACATGCACTCCATTAGCTGCTGGAGGTCATTTTGTAGGGCTCTTGCCATGCTCCTCCTGTTCTTTCTTGCACAAAGGAGCAGATACCGATTTTGCTGCTCGGTTGTTGCCCTTCTATGGCCTTGTCCAACTCTCCTGGTGATTCACAATCACTTGTGCTTCATAAATAGACAGATTGTTACCCTGATATCCCTGAAGTTTAACTGACTTGGTGTTATACCGTGATTAAGTGTTTGCTTAATTTTTTTTAGCTGTATATATATATAGATACTGCATCTTTTTCAAGCAGTGTTTTGGGTTTTGAGTGTTTCTGTGTTCATGTTTGCAGAGATTGAAGCCTGGGTCAGATCAAGAGGAGAACGAACTGGTGATTCTCCATCTCAGGCAGCTCTGTGAAACCAAACAAAAGTCGCACCTTCACATTGGACAAGCCCCTCAGGTACACACTCAACCTGTAGACAGTGAAAAGAATGAAACATTTCCAGCATAAATTACATCCCTGTGTCACAGGAAAGGAGATGAACCCCTTACAGATTGCCAGTTGTGGACTGGGTCCTGAGGTTTTACTTTAACTATCCTAACAAGTTCCTTGTATTGAAGCAAGTTTTACTGTTTTACATGTGAAGTCACTCGCTTCTTGCCTGAACACAAACTTTTTCATGAAAGAAAAACTAAGATGGTTATCAGTTGAATTAGCATTGCATGTTGATGAGGGGAAAGCATTCAGTGTATGAAAGCTGTGGGCTCTTACTTTTGCACGATCTACCCTGAGGGGCTGTGTGTTAAATATTAGCCTGTCACTCAAATGGCAGCCCTCCAACACCAGTTCCACTATTGTTAAAGCAACCGGCTGTAGACTGCTCTTGTGGTCTTGCCCATGTTGTCTGCTACTCTATGGGTACCCTGGGTTTGTATACTGAAGCCGTTTAGGCTTCTAGTGAATGTCATTATTTCAGCGATAATCTTTCTCTCTCTGGTTGTAATCTTGTAGAACGCAGCGAACAGCTCATCGGCAGGAGATGGCACAGCAACGAGCAGTCGCTTTAAACTTGATGTTCTCAAGAATAAAGCTCGCTCCTCCCTCACCAGCTCTCTAGAGAACATCTTTGCAAGGGTGGGTGTGAACAAGGAGGGCTTTTCTAACATATTTTTTCTTCTGCCTCAAAATTTGATCTTTATTTCATTTCTTGCTGTTATTTTATCAGCCCTATTTCTCGCTCTAAGTTTATCCCCCTCTTTGCCTGTTATTTCTCCACACCAGGCTGAATATAGCAACTGTACTGAGCTCCTTTATGCATCTCCATGTTCAGTCTTTGTATCAGTTGCTGTTTCTGTGCCATTGTCATCCAGGGGATTTGGATTGACCCATATCTGCCAGTGCGATAGCAGAACAATTTCTTAGTAGAAGGAACTGGGCAATCTGAGATCTTGACTGATACCTGTTGTTATCCCAGAGACTTAGCAGAAGAGTGACACTTTAAGATGTTATCAAGTCAGGAAATATTTGACCTTTTTATTTCTTGCCCTTCTCATTATTTTTTGTCAGATTCATGCATGTTTTTATTTATCCATTTATTTTTCCAGAATGCATTTCATTTTGTGTCATCAATCCTTTCACCAGGGTGCCAGCCGAATGCGGGGCCGGTTGGGAAGCATGGGAAGCATTAGCGGTTTTGAGAGGGTAAGTGTCCTTGTGGAGCACATGTGTCAAACTCAAGGCCCGCGGGCCACATCCGGCCCGGTGTACAATTGCATCTGGCCCTTGAGTTCATTTTATATATTTTTTTTTAATGCCCCGGTGATATGAAGCGCTGATAGCACACAAACTACAAATCCCATAATGCAGCGCAACAGCTGCCTTACCGAACCATAGGCTACCTGCGATCATTCTCGCCTCAATTGCGTCAGATCAATCAAGCACCTGTTGATGTACAACAACTCTAATTTCAAGTCAAAGCTAGCTCCTAACAATGGCCAAGAGAAAGGCTGATTCTGAAAACAGAGCCTTTCAAAACCGGTGGGAGGCTGAGTATATGTTTACTGCCACTGCCGGTAAACCTGTGTGTGGAGATAATGTGGCTGTAATTAAGGAATATAACCTAAGACGGCACTACGAGACAAAACATCAGGACAACCTGAGAAACGTGAATGAGCGTGAATGCAGAGCAGAAGCTACAGAAGGTAGAGGAGTTGAAGAGGAATCTGACATCACAGCAGACATTTTCACCAAAGCCAAATCACACAGTGAAGCTGCTGTGAAAGCAAGTTTTATTGCGGCAGAGGAGAAAATCAGCCTGGTCATTTACCGAGGGAGAGTTTGTGAAGAGCTGCATGATGAAAGTGTGTGACATCTTGTGTCCAGACAAAAAAGCAGGTGTTTGTAAATGTAAGCCTTAGTAGAAATACGGTTGCTGGTTTTAAGTTCAAGTTTATTTATTTTGGAATAATATTGTATCCTGTCTGTTTCGATTCATATTTATGTTAGTTTTAGTGTGTTCAATAAATTTTTATCCTGCTCGGCCCGTGACCTAAAGTGTGCTTTGAGTTTTGGCCCCCTGTGCGATTGAGTTTGACCCCCCTGTTGTGGAGGAACCAGAGAGTTTACAGAGTTTCACTTAGGTGACTCTGGGAATTCTCACTTTTTACCAAGTGACTTTTAAACATGTTACATTCCAGCTCTGGCCTCAGGAGAGGAAAAGTGTGACAAACATGCTTTCACTTTTTTATCAGTGTCAGTAGTTGGAGGCTGCAACAGAGTTCTTCTTACATGGACATGTTTCACTGCATCCGTCTCAGATTTTCAGTCTCATCATGCATTGGTCACAAGACCGAACAGTACAGCAAGGGAGTACAGCAATGGACCGTTTGTGGTTGTTGGTTACACCACCGTGCAGAATGTGGAGTGAGAATGAGATAAAGTCCTTCTGACTCCCCATCAGTCATAATGGAGTTAAGACATTTATCAGATTTTGCTCCCTTGAGAACCCCCGAAGGCATTACTCAGCCTTTTTCACTGCAGCGGTACTCCCTGTAAACAGACTTTGTACAGCAGGTGGAGTTCCCCTTTAAGGATTCTCGCTCATTGTGTTAACACTATGATGCAGGAGACATAAAACAGGACCCTCCTTGCTGTCATATGACTTTAAATTTGCCTGTGGTATTGATCGGATGAAAATATGAAGCCCTGAGTGAGGGAAGAATTTGAGTGGTAGCCAGATGGAGTGGTGATGGAGGATTTTCTGAAGCTGCTATATCTCTGGTGCAGTTTTACAAAAGTCGATCCAGTCAGCCATAGTCACAGCGACACAGAAAAACCTACTTATGAAAGGTCAGTAATGTTGATTCCATAAGCAACTGAAGATGTTTTTAATGATTTTTTTGCAGAAATATTACAGTATGAGTAAATATGTACAAGGGAAATCTGGTAGTCTTCACTTTTTAAGGTTCACCTGCGCTCCACTCTTTCTGATATTTCTGATCATTTGAACAATGTTGTTTTTCCGGTTTCTAAGATCGTAAAAAGCCATCTGGGGATTGTATCAGGATGCTGAGGGCATGGCAAACAGGAAATCTAAGTCAGGACGTGCAATTTTGCAGCTGCTGAGCCATGCCTGTCATGGCTTCCTCTGCTGCATTAGTGTCAGACCTGAGCCACTTTATCTTATCACTGCTTTCAAAAGTGTCTAATCACAGTTAAGCCATTCAGCTGACATCTAGCGCAATCCACATGTGCGCAACAAACCTTTTGCAATCTGCAGTGTGACTAGCAGTGTGGGGACTTTAGATAGTGACAGTAGCCCCATTAGACTTTGCTGTGTTGTTTTTATTTCCCTCTGCATATTGAAAGAGGCTAAAAGTCTCCTGTCATGTCATATGTTGGAGAGGGAGGTCTCTAAAAGCATGATGGGAGGAGAATGTTGTGGTTTTATGTGGAGTTGAGTTACAGAGGTCTCTCCACCAATAATGTGTGACGCTATGTGTCACAGGACACTGTCCATTAGAATACAATAGAGGTGGGAGTTGTAGCACCAGGCATGAGGCAACACTGAGTCCAAGAGTGTTGAGTGGGAAGTTGAATCTGGAATGGGTCTTGCTGTGGGGTTTCATTGGCTAGGTGAGTGCTGACCTGTAACATGAGTTATTTGGCTTCATGGTTTCACTTACAAGGTCTTTTAGAGGAACAGACCCTTGGAGTTTCACCTCGTTATACCCAGGGTTTTTTTTTACCTTAGCAACTATGAACATTTTAGAGGAATTTGTTTTTGGTTTCTGGGTTCAGCTATGCAGTCAGATAATTCAGAAAATCCAAGCATGCTAAAAAAATTATAATATAAAATCTTATAAATGCACGTTACTGTTAAAGGATAGCTGTACACTGACATCTTTCTCCCTTCCATACTCTGTCCTCCTCAGCAGGATGAGGAATCTCCTGGTCACTCTCCTCCAGGTTCCCCTCCCGCTTTCCCGGACGATGACCCGGAAGCTGGCCCGCAGTTTCGCCGGCGTGCCCACACCTTTAGCCATCCACCTGTGAAGAAACGCATCTCATTTGAGGGACAGCTGCCCAACCAGAGCAAACACGCTCCGCTGCGCAGACAACAGTCTGTTAACCCAGAACTGCTGCAGAGCGGGTAACTTGCATGTCAGCTATCAGCCGCTGCATTTCTAGTTTGAACCTTCGGGAGAGAGGAGCAGGCAGTGCAGGATATGCATCTCTTTAGTGAAGCTGTAGGAGTTGATGTTCTACTGAGTGAATTGGTTAAAGGTTTACAAGAGCGAGCTTTGGTGTTGGTTTTGAAGATATAGCTAATGCTAACTTTGCTTTAAAATCACAACCTGTTGCTTTTCTTTTAATCAGGTTAAAGTTAACTAACTATTTAGTTGACCTTTGATGTATACATGCAGTAGACACTGTAATCTGTTTGCAGCACTTTGATCAGTCCTAAATCTGTCCACCTCGTGCTTCACTGTCCTTGAACAATAGCCTCACCAGTTTCCGGGCCTTGTTTAGGTCCCTCATGAGTTCCTCAGTGTTTTTCTGTGCTCCGACCAGAGGGCTTTTCTTTTGTGTAACGTATTTGTTTTTCATTTGTGGGCATTTCATGTTTGGCTCGCCCAGTCCCGTGGCTATCTCGAGAACACGCAGCTTTTCAGCGAGCGAGCCCTCCTTCAGCCTCCCCTCTTCCTTCTCTGCTCCCACTTTCCTGAAAAGCTTTTACCAGGGCTCGTTGGGCCCCCTGAGCTCCGTGGCAGACAGTGGGAGCCTCAAGAGGTGAGAGGGGGTGCTCAGACAAACCCCCCTGCTTAGACCCAAATGCACTGGCCAGGGACTTGACAAAGGGAATGAGATGGATGGGAGGGATAAACTGCATGTGTTGGCTCTCCAAACCTTTTAACCAGCTTATTTGTCCCTGTATCTTTGTAACTTTATTAGCAAAGACACTTTTCAGCTATTTCTTTTTTCCTCGTCATCACTACAGCTCAACCCGTCCTCTTCCTGTTTGGCTCAGACATAGAAGGAAATGCTGATACACCCTTCTCATGTTGGATTAGCATGTGAACTTGAAGCTTCTTTGCATGGCAAAACCATTTATTTTTATTAATGAATTTCATTCTTCATCCCCTTTCCTGACCGGTTCTGTTTATGACTATGCTAATTCAGTTCAGTGACGTATTTATTTCAAAAGGTCTCTGTCAGTGTTTAGCTGCACTAACTTTTCAAATAATATAGTATGTTCAAGAAAACAAGACCTGCTCTGCTGTGACAGAAAGTAAATGTTAACATTTCCTAAACCTTTCAGTGGAGCAGCAAGCAGGATGTTTTGTCCTCTGACAGCGGTCCGGTCCCCTTAGCACCGATAATGCAGCAAAAGAAGAAGTAAAGGTTGTTTTAGAGCAAGTTGCTCCTGATGAGGAATAAGAGCAGGTTTCGAAGAAAACTTGGTGAAAAGCCTTGACATAACTGGGGTTTAAGTCTGAATATGTCAGCATGTTCACTGCCAGGGTTGTTTTCTTGTTGTACTGTGTGGTTACAAGCAAGGACTCTGAATCTGTTAGAGGTGTTCAAAGTGTACAACAGCTGTTCCTGTCCAAGGTTGCTTCCTGTTTTTCATTGCCCACATGATCTGCACTTATTGTCACCCATGTGCTGACCATGCTTATTAACTATGGTAACAATCAAGTGATCCTCAGTGAGTGACATAAAAACCTTCTTTCTTTCAAGGAACAAACGTTATTTGAAATATAAAGTATTTATGAAGCAATGAAAGTGCTTCAGTACTTAAGATTTTATTTGAACATGTGTCCTTGTTGGTCTGTTTGTGTTTAGATGCTTCCACTTCAGTCATTATGGGTTTTTCAGTGTAGGTTGTTTGGGAACATTTGTAATTTTATCCACTTTATATTGAATCTTCAACACAAAGTTTGCAAAAAGTGAAGGGGCCTGAATACCTCGCAAGGCCCCTGTATATATTGATATTAGTGGTGCTGTATATTTGACTATTAGAACTTTTGTCTTCTTAGACAACTTTCCTAGAAATGAGTCTGCAGTTTCCTTTTTACTTCCCCTAACTCTTTCACATTAATTGCACTACTAGTATGTTTAAAAAAAAAATGGTGGCCTTCACAGACCTCACCTAGTTCACACGTGACACAACACTTAACTGTAGCTGGTGTGGTTGCACCATTAAAATGGGCTTTTTAAAATTTAGTTAAGTGCATTTTTCTAAAAATTTTATAATTAGTTTTTACTTACATTTGATGAGTCAGCTGGTGTGAATTTCAGGCTTTGCTTATTAGGATTCAACAAATATGAAGCGAAAGTGTCATGAAGCAGTAAACCTTTTTAATACCCCTAGCAGCTGTTTAACCAGGTTGTCCTCTCTACTAATGAAAGCAACATCTTTCCAGAGGATAAACAAGCATGCTTACCTCTCAGCCATGACTGTTTTCAGGATTGGCGTTTGTTGTTGTTTTACACACTAATTGCAGGGTGCTGGTTTATTAACATGGAAATTGGGAATTTCCATGCCTGACAGATATTTCCATCTGTCTCATCAGCTTGAAGATTGTTGGTGAGAAGCTTGTATAAGGTTTCCTTTGTAGTTTCTGAGTGCCAGAGGTTAGATGTTTGTGTACTGAA